GTAATGCGCAGTCATCAAATTATGTTTGAACAACGCCGCCGCAACAGCGATAATAGCAGCAACACCAACAGCAACACCAACAGCAACAACGACAGCAACAGCAGCTGGAGCAACAACAAGCTCTGAATTGGCCCCCTTGAACCCCTTTTCGAAATCCCCTCCCAAGAACTTGGCATCTTATGAAACAATTGAAGCACCGGCCAAAGGAGCAAAGGAGCAGACAAAGACAAAGGCAACGGCAAAAAAGAAAACCCAGCAGCAGTAGCAGCAGCAGCAGCAAAAAAGACAACGAAGGTAGCAGGAGCAGCAACAGCAGCAGCAGCAGCAGCAGCAGCAGGAGCAACAACAACAGCCGCCATCACAAAAATCGCATCACATTTTTAAACGGCAAATACGCAAAGTAAGTGAAGTGTAAACCGAGCGAGATGGCTATAGGCGGGGCAGGAGTGTGATTCAAAAAGGAGGCAGCCAAGTGAAGCATTTGTCGCATTTCGTGCAGAATCCTCACCGTAATTAATGTTGTGTGTGTGTGCCGCCGTCGTCGTCGTCGTCATCACCGATGCCGCGCGCGCGGTGTGTGCGTATTTTTGTGTGTTTGTTGAGTGTGTAAACTAGGTCACTAGGAAGCTAGAATGCCCCCAACCCCACCACTTACACTTCACCATCAGCATCACCATTCTCCTTCCCCTTCCCCATCAACCGGCAGTGTCAACTCGCAAAATCTCCAACCACACCTTAGCCACCCCAACCCAGGGGCACCACTTACCTCGCCGGTGCTGCCGCTCCTCACAGCCAGGATTAACGCCTCAGTGAGATTAACTGGCAAACAATTTCAGAGTGGCTGCGGTGTCTTTTGTGGCTCTATAGATTTATGTATGCTGCCTCTTGTCTAGCAATTTCACATTCAGTCAATAGGCCAGTACAACCTGAAGTACCCAAACAGTGAAGTAGTGCTTATTATCTAATCAAAAGAGTAAATTAAAAATATGCAATAATGAGTACAAAAAGAGATATATATACATATATGAAAATATATCTATAATAAATAAATATACTCTTAATAGATAAGCAAAAAATGTTACACATTGTACCAAATTGCATTTGCTTTAGTTAGCTGAAGAATGAATGATTAAATAATTATTTGTATTTTTCTTTTACAAAGATCTTTAAAAATAATAATTAGGCTAAAAATTCAACCAACGAAATACAAGAAAGTATAAGCATAGAAAATAAATTCCTAGTCTCTAATCAGATTATTGAAAAAGTATAATTAAAATATTTTTTATGAAATGCAAATAGCAGTAAAGTGCTTGGATCTGCTTTATTTGCCATATATTTCTAACAATTTAAAATAATACCATAAAAAATAGAATTTAGTACACCTCAAACCAGGGTTGGGCAGGAAAATTTAATGCTTGGAGCCTGCCAACTCACGAAAGTCATGAGTCAGGCAAAAAATACGAGCAAAGCAAAACGAAAGTTTTCCTACGCAGTATATCTGTGTTTTCTTTTTGCAAGCCTTTAAAATTTAAATTTCTAATGCGCTGCTTTTTATTATTTCTTGTTTTTTATTCCGTTTTTAATTCATTAGGTATGGTAATTAAAAGATTACAGTCCTGCCAGAACCAGCATAGAAGTATATAACCATATGAAAGCACTAATAAAAAAACCTGCTAGATGTCAAAGGTCTTTAGAAAAGTCTTTGCAGTTAAATTTTGTATTCAAGGAATTCTCTTAGAAACCTTAATTAATAGTAAAACGTGTGAGTAAAAAGAGTGTTTTTTTTGTATTCATATTTGAAAGCACATATCTCATGCGTGCTAGTACATACTAAACACACATATGTATACAGCAAAACACACGCAGGAACACACCGAGGGCGATAAAGAGAGGCCTTCCCTTCGCTTCACAAACGTTTTTCCTATCTCATACATGGCAAAAATTCGGTGACAGGAGTTTAGAACACTGCCAGAGGGGCTGCGGACACACGAGGCGGGGGTTGCGACCAAGTAAGAGCCATAAAACTCAGGCGCCGAAGCGCAAAATGCCCTTGCCTGGTACAACAAAAAAAAATAAATAAATAAAGAAGAGAACAACTGAAAAGTTAAGGACAACGACGAATAAATAGAAACTGCTTATTTATTTATTTGTTACCGACAAATCTCAATTGAAACAAAGTCGCAAAGCTACCAAAATCAAAACTTAAATAGAGGCCACACAGTCGGGCGGGACAATAAGAAGAATAAAGCCAGGAGGAGGTTGAGAGACAATTACTATTAAATCCAAGTTCAATTTGGTCGGCACACAATTGAATTTGTTGCAGATTTGATTTGGCTTCATGTGGATTCCGATAACTATTATTAGCTGGGATTAGTGGCGAATCGGCTTCATTGCCACCATCACCATTTACCTTTTAAGTGGATTTGTATAATTAAAATACAATACTCTCAATGAATTTAAATGCTAGACTAAATTGAATTGGATTTTTAATACTAGTAAAATTTATTAGAAACCCAAAAATAAAACTACTTGAGTTTGTTTCGGAAACTGAACAGATGTTATCTCTTATATTTATTGAAATCGAATTGTGTTTAAAGCTATAAATCCAAAATAGTATATACCCCTTAAAAGCATATAAAATAAGTTGCACAAAGTCATTAAATGTATTGAAATTATGATAAAAAGTATGAAAACGGATTGCTGCTGGTTCATTCTCTGTCAAAGTTCTTTGTTATTTCTCTTCAGAAATATTTGCATATATTAAGACAAACACAAGGCGAGCTTTCGCTTTCAAGCTCTTAAACCTTTAAAATGCTATACGCATACATATATGAACAAATGAAGGCAAATCCCCAAGCCTAATCCCGCATTAAGGAACAAAACCGAAACATATCCCCCAAAAAAGTATGCTACAGAAATACTTACATTTTAAATCCAGCTGAAAGGCAGAATGAGAATCGTTTCCTTATGAAACTACAACCACCAAGTTATCATGCACATTGCATAAAGTGGATTATAGTTAATGAGTTTCAGTAAAATGATATATTTATAAGCTTGATAAGTATTTCTATCACACAACTTTTTTAATCAAATCATATTATTTGAACATAAAACTGAAAAGTTCATTTGCTTAAAAAGCGAAAGGATGATTCAAATGTCATAGTAGAAAATTTAACTAAATAAAAATAAAAACTTTACCAATTTTATGTAGTTTCTTGTCTTTTTTACTATTATAGTTTTTAAACGCCTTTTTCAGACATAAAGCCATGTTTAGTAGTTTACAAGGAGTTTTTATATATGTTACCCCTACTGACCATTCTTAAGATTGTAGTTATAAAAGGAATATGAATTATTATTTGAATGAGACTTGAATTTGATAAGGATAACATGTTCTTAAAGAACAAAAATATATTTAACATTTCTCAAAGTATTAATTTCATAATGAATACCCGTTCTTTGAAACCCAAATTCATAAGTTAACAAGAAATATAGCGAACTTTGAGAAGCCGAAGTGTACATATATACCCTTGCAGCTACCCATAGGATCATGAGATCGAATGTGGAATAGATTATAACTAAGATAAAGATATATATCTACTTTAACTTTGAGTATACGTTTGTATATATTTTTAATACAATTTGCTGTATCACTTTAAACTAAAATTTAGTAATGGGGCAAGAAGAGTTTATTGGAAAATGAAAACAACGGACTTAGGCCTGATCTATTATATAGCATCTATATATATTTTATAGGACTTACCTTACTTAATTCCTTTCAGTGTTGAAGTCTTGTTGACTTCAATAAGGCTTCTTAATATATCATAGAAGTAAGCTTCTTCCTGGTCATCCAGTTGCATTGCATGTGACAGGTGATATTTTTGGGGTCGAAGGGTAAGCACTATCACTGCCACTATCACCGAAGATGTTAACAGCGGGGAGGCCGCGAACAGAATGAGGGTGGTGGGAGGGTAGCGCCTGGTATTTATAGTCTCCGAGTAAAGAGAACAACAGAGAGTGAAAGTGAGAGCAAGCGAGAGGCAGTGATATCTCTAGAGGCACATTGAGCGAGAGAGAGGGAGAAAGAGTGGGAGAGGAGAGCTTCTAGGCTGAGATTCTAGCTTCGGTAGATCCGGAGAGACGGACGGACGGGCGGACATTGCCAGATCGACTTAGCTGTTTATGCTGATCAAGAATATATAATATATATACATTGTAATATTCACTGCGTTGCTAGCTTGATAGTGATTGAAAGTGTAGATATGTATGTATATTAATACGGAATATTATAATTATTCTTATATCAATGATATTATTATATTATATTATTATTATATAAATAAATATCTTAAAGTTTTGATACAAGTGCATTAAATCTTTATTCCATTTAATATATAAAAGGTTAAAAATGTAGTCTAAGAAATGTATACACAATATAAGATAAGATACTAAGTATATTTTAACGTTAAATGCGTTAGTTTTTGATATATCAAATTTAGATATACTAAACTTTATAATATACATTACAAAATCAATAATATTTATATCCATTAAATTGGGAAAGCATCTAATTTGATGTCATGTATATTTAATTTTATATCATAAATTAAAACCCCATATTTATTCCAAATTCAGCATCTCATATCCAGTATACCGAATCCTCAAGGAGCATAGCAAAGTGTATAAATCGCTTACGTTTGCCCAAGTTGTCATAAAAACTGCTGTGGCCCATAAAACGAAGCTTGACGCTCGCTTTGCCTCAGTTCAGATTCATTTTCCCATGCCGCTTTCCGCGCTTTCCTTGGCCATTCCTTTTGGGAGGACACTCCTACAATTTCTGTGTCTATTTATATATGTATTTTGTGTGTTGTATTTGTATGGGTTTTACCTCGATTTGTACTTTTGTGCTCGCCCCGCCATTTCGATAATCAAATTTTCTGGCTCGCGTTCTGATTATGATTCTGACTTTGGTTTTGATTCTGATTTCGGTCCCTTTGCAGGATATGACAAGTGATGGTGCTGTTACGTTTTGGATATTTTTACTTTGTTTGATCGCCTCGCCGCACCTGGAGGAGGCCGAGGCCGGGAGGCCCGATGAGCTGCACATCGGCGGCATCTTTCCGATAGCCGGCAAGGGAGGATGGCAGGGCGGGCAGGCGTGCATGCCGGCCGCAAGACTGGCGTTGGATGATGTCAACAAGCAGACGAACCTGCTCCCGGGCTTCAAGCTCATCCTGCACAGCAACGACAGCGAGGTGAGTACCGAGAGTCCTGCATAGGGCAAGCCCTACATGTGTACATATAGTTTGTCCAGGTCCCCATCCTAAGTACTGGGACGTCTCTTTGGTCCTCTGGCGCTCTGTCACACACACCCTTGGGTGCCACTTATTTTGTTTCGTTTTTGTTTCTGTTCACTGATGACTGGAGTGCCGCTACCAACGGGTATGAGCCTGGCTGACTGAGCTCTGGCATTCATTAGCATATTTCTCCAGGGGACGGGCGGGGATATGGTCGGGGTGGTCTTTTAACAGTTGCCAAACAGTTTTATGGTTCGCAATGAAGGGTATTATTCGTAACCATATTTTCCACACAGTAAATACAATGACAAGTCCACTACTCGTTAGCTTCTAAGCCTGAAACGGAACATAAATTGATATTGAGATTCAATTAGGGCTTATAAGCCATTCCGAAAAGAACTTACGTATATTGGTAAGCTTGACTTAATTGGCTTTGATTTGTAGAAGGGAATTTAACCAAAATTGTATGCAAATTCCTAGGGTAAATACCTCTTTATGATTCATGTTCTTAGGAAAGTCTTAAAAGAGTCTTGAGAATCTTGATTATATTGATAAATGTATAAATTAAATGGATAAATACAAAATATCTCACTATCTTATAATAATGACTAAAGGTTTAGATCTTTTCCTTTCCTAATTAAAATAATAATAACAATGAAAATATTAGTTTACCTATATCGTAGATTTAACTAAGGAACTCCAGCGTACAGATCTAGAGGTTTCTCTTGGTTCTAAGGGTTTTCTATATTAAGTTTTTCCGTTTCCATTATAATGACTTGAGGGGAAATCGTATTTTCCAGCTAAGAATTAGATATTTAACTCTGTGTAAAAACTAACTATTATAATGGTAACTTACTTAAATATGAATTTAAAGTAGATATATGGTAAAAGTAAAAGATTTAAATATAATTTGTTCTTACCTAAAGGTAACATTTCCTGCATTCTTTTTCGTTTAACTTTATTGCTTTTGATAAAGGAATAGTGACTGGCTAAAAGCACTAGAATAAAGCCTAACTAATATTTAATTATTATTTAAAATTAAATCTTATTTGTAGGCCAAGAAATCTTCCCAATATATCCTTAAATTAAAGAAAGAAGTTGCTGGAAAAGACCAACAAAAATCAGTATCAAAGACTCCCCTCATAGAACTTGTATATTTTAAACGCATAACATAGTTTCATTGAAATATATACGACATTAAAATATAAGAGTATAAGAATAGCTAATACAGAATTCACTATTAATAAGTTTCCCGCCATTTCGAAAGACATACATCATGATAAATGGCCAGTAACAAAACCCATTTTAGAGTTCGCACAGCAAAACTATAGTAACTGGCGCTATCAATGCCCCTTGGCGCTTCACTTTATGTAACATTTTTATTTATTTACTTTCATATTTTTGCACATTTCTGTGTGTTTTCCATTTTAAGGATCTGTGGTACAGTTGTTGCGGTTTCGACTACTTTGGCTTTGGTTTCGGTTACGGTTTCGGTTTCGGGGGCCCCTTCTGCCCTGCCTATTTATAAGCGCGAACCTCATTAGTTTTAAGTGAGCGAAAGCTTAACTACTTGTTTTGAGTTTTGAATGAGGTCACTTTGCCCCGGCCCAGGCCGTAGCTCATCATTTGAGTTATTTTTATTCAAGGCTGCCAGGAGGGACAGACACTATATATCCTAGGCCACACTCGCATCCACATTCACATGCACATCCACATCCACAGCCATTCACTGGGAAGATGCGGGCATATAGATAAGGGAAGATGACACGGAGAGAGAGAGAGCTGGAGGTGGATTCATCTCTGTTCCATGTCCATGTCTGTTCCGCTCCTCCGTCCTGGTTAGTTCGGTTCAGTTCAGTTCGCTTCGCTGGACTGGGCCGAGTCGGGCGCGTTATGTTTGTGGCTTAGGCAAACAGCTTCCGTTAAATTCTGCATAATTAGTTGCCATCTCCAGCTCCCCCCCAGCCCCCTGCCCCTCCTCCTGGCATCCCACATCCACTGGCATCCACATCCATGTCAGATGGCAAGCGACAAGCGGCAAAGGTCGCACGCAATGTTTGCTTTTGCGTTTGCCTTTGCCGCTGCCTTTTGCTTGACCTACTTTGATGTGTGAAATGTCCCAAAGAAGCCAGCACAGAGCCACACAGAAGAAAAGAAAAAAAAATTATATATATATAAACAATTGAGAAAATGTTGTACTTTACAAATGGAGCTGAATGCCCTTTTATAATCTAAAGGATCTAAAAGGAGTGTCAAAGATCTAGGTGTTTATTTTAATTAAAAGAAGTATGAAAAGGTATGACATTTTTCCGTGTGAATTAGTATTTAATGAACTATGAAAATGTTTAAAGTTTTGTCTTTGTAAAACTATTTTTTAAATGGTTAAAATACTTTTTATACAAAGAAAGATAACTATCAACTGTAAAGTTGAAAGTTATAGGTATGCATTTAGTTCACGAATTCAAGCAGTTTATTCATGAATCCATGCATTCCATAGACAATTTTATGAATTTAATTCACGAATTCATTCAATCATGAATAAGGTAGCATGAATAAGGTAGAAAAAATATTAAAACTTAAATTACGTGAAGGACTAAAGCAACGTGAAAAACTAAACCATAAACGAAAGGAGGAGCCAATTCAGTAAAGACTTATTGATTATCTAATGCATGACCCAGGTCAGGAAACAAATAATGAATATTTCATCTTTATTATTTATCACTTAACACCTAACTATTAATAGTCTGAGATTTCTGTGTTTCAGTTAAAAAAGGATCATTTTGTTTTCAAGTATTTAATAATTCATGAAACACAAATTAGGAACTCAATAATGGATAACGTTTTAGTCCTTAAAGTATGTCTTACAATAATCATAAGATCATACCAGAATTAGTATACAAATTTTATAAAAAGACGTATAAATTCCTGAATGTTTCATAAGTAACTTCATCTATTAAGAGTATAACTTAACTTACCTCTAAATTTGTACCTCTGATTTTTATAAACTACATCGAAAGAGTATAGAAAAAGAGATATTCAACTAGGGGCGAGCGTTTATAATGCGACATGCCTCGGGACACCCAACACACCCACACCGCGATATAAATAAGTACGGGGGAGTAGGAGCAGGATAATACTTATGCATGAACAGGGACTGGACATGAAAGGGAAAAAGAAAAAACAATTAGAAAGGTTGTTTACACGCAAACCACGTAAGAAATATGAAAAGTGTCGTCAGAAGCCAGGAGAGTGGGAAGAAACGGGAAACGAAAAGGAAAAAGGAAACGACAAACAGGGAAAACGAGGTTTCCATGTAAATGAATGAATGAGAGAATGAATAACTGAATGAATGAATCATTTATATGGTCAACATGAACGTAAATCGAAGCTTTAGTCCAAGAAGCGACCTTAAGTTGAGTAAAGGAATAAGTTGACCCTAAAAATACCCGCCAAAATGAGTCGGTATTATCGAAAAATCATTGCCATTTTTATGAGAGTTGAGTCTTTCGAACATGATTTCTAATTTTCTTTCTTATTTCTTGATATTTAATATGAAATGTGTATAATTGTATATTTCAAAACATTCTTGACTATTTGAACACCTGAATTCCAAGATCTTTTGATGGTCTTAGGAATATACTTAATTTAAATTTGTTAAACAAATAAGTTCATTAAAACACTTTTTATTTTGAAGCTATAAATCTTTAAGTTTCCATCTCTATAATAACCTTAATTAAGACAATTTATTATAGATGCTAAAGAAAGAAATAACGACATAATTACCACACATGACAAATAACTCATTTCGATAATAATTTTCCAATGAACACCGATATATAAATTACAAGAAATATGCTATTAATAACTCCCTAAGTGTCGCTGCCCACATAATCAATACCCATTGGTCAGTCAGTCAAGTGGCACCCACATACTTGTGTGTGAATATTTATCAAAGAGTGACTCAGAGTATAATTTCTTATTTTTGGCATCTTCTAATATATAATAATTCACTTTTCCTTTCCGCAGTGCGAGCCTGGGCTGGGCGCCAGCGTAATGTACAATCTGCTGTACAATAGACCGCAGAAACTCATGCTGCTGGCAGGATGCAGCACTGTGTGCACCACTGTGGCAGAGGCTGCCAAAATGTGGAATCTCATTGTGGTAAGTAGCATTTGCATAATGCGAGGCCAACATGGATATTTAAGACCCCAAACACAAAGCAGAATTTACGTAGATTTTAGAAAATGTCATTGTGTTCAGAAAGTCTACGTTTGGTAGATGTAAGCTCTGGGTTTTGTATTGGGAAAATGATTCCTAAGATTGGATATTACATTTAATGACAGAATTTTATTTAATTTAATATATTATTGGAACTGTGAATCAAGAAATATAAGAAAAGTCATGACGTTACCAAACTATCTATAACCAGTTGACAAATAGTAACATGATTTATATTTATTAGCGGATTTTCCTTAACTCCAAAATGATATTAGATGAAATGAAACTTTCTGATATAGTTACACAAATTTTGTGTTGAGTGTACTGGAACTTTACTAATGTTTTATTCCATTCACAGCTTTGCTATGGAGCCTCAAGTCCGGCTTTGTCGGATCGCAAGCGGTTCCCTACCCTGTTCCGAACCCATCCCTCGGCCACAGTGCATAATCCCACCCGCATCAAGCTGATGAAGAAATTCGGCTGGTCCCGGGTGGCCATCCTGCAACAGGCCGAGGAAGTCTTTATATCGGTATATTATACTACCTAACCCAAAAAGCATTATATTATATAATTATTATTATTTCAGACTGTAGAAGATCTCGAGAATCGATGCATGGAGGCTGGCGTTGAAATCGTAACTAGACAATCATTTCTTTCCGATCCAACAGACGCCGTACGCAATTTGCGACGCCAGGATGCACGCATCATTGTGGGACTCTTCTATGTCGTGGCTGCCAGAAGGGTTCTCTGCGAGATGTACAAACAGCAGCTATATGGACGAGCCCATGTGTGGTTCTTCATAGGTAAAGTACCTGAAATACTACTTATTCCAATGATTTCTAACAATTTTACTCATCAACTCAGGATGGTATGAAGATAATTGGTATGAGGCCAACCTAAAGGCTGAGGGCATCACTTGCACTGTGGAGCAAATGAGGATAGCTGCCGAGGGACATTTAACCACAGAAGCTCTCATGTGGAATCAGAACAATCAGACAACAATATCCGGAATGACTGCGGAGGAATTTCGGTAATAAATTCACTGTCAAATGCATAAATTTATCCAATGATTAATCACCAACTCCTCCACAGACATCGACTGAATCAGGCTTTAATAGACGAGGGCTATGACATCGATCATGACCGCTATCCCGAGGGCTATCAGGAGGCACCGCTTGCCTATGATGCGGTTTGGAGTGTGGCTTTGGCTTTCAACAAGACCATGGAGCGTTTAACAACTGGCAAGAAATCCCTGAGGGACTTTACCTATACGGACAAGGAAATTGCCGATGAAATCTATGCCGCAATGAACTCTACCCAGTTTCTGGGTGTATCGGTGAGGGAATTCTACAAAATTTTAAATAATTTATTCACTAATTTATATATTTTATCATTATCCAGGGCGTGGTGGCGTTCAGTTCGCAGGGCGATCGTATTGCCCTCACTCAAATCGAACAAATGATAAATGGCAAATACGAGAAGTTGGGCTACTATGACACCCAGTTGGATAACCTTTCCTGGCTAAATACTGAACAGTGGATAGGCGGCAAGGTGAGCATATATCAGTGGGCTGTGTTTTATAATTCAAGGGAGAGTTCTAAAGGCATTATAAAAGGCTAAAAATGTCTGACTATGATAATACCGAAAATGGAGACAAGTCATCTAAAGAAGACGCTGATGAATCTAATCAAAGTAAGGATCCTGAAGTAAAGACAAAACAAAACAAAGCCTCACAGACACCAGACATCATCGAGTTGAGTAATGAACCTTCATCCGAGGAAGGGAAAACAAGAAAAGCCGGAGGCGGTTCAGAACCAGAAACTGAAACCACAGAAGACGAAGAGCTCGAACTGATTGAAGTAACCAATGTTAAACTATTAAGGGAACTCCAGGAGCTACGTGACTTGTACCCAGATTTCGTAAAAAATCGCGAACCCGACCAAACAATAGATGAAATCAGGGGTTCCAAGACCACAGGAACCAGTAAATCGCACATAGATGAAGTCAAAAGTGATTCGGATGGGGATAGTGACCTATCACTCCGGGACACGGGCACCAACACCAAGTTCCGTGGAATAAATCGAAGAAGCGAATCTAAAGATACTAGGCCATCTGAAAAGACAGCATCAGCTGTGAGTCCAAATAAACCCTTGAAATTTCTATTAGAGCAGTCTGCTCCTGTGATCCCTGGACAACCGCAGAACATTCATGCACGTCGACTCGTAAAAATAGGCAGTAGAAATAAAAAATCAAGAAGTATGGGAATCAACACGGCAGTTAGCATAAAGCCCGAAAAAATGCTACCTCGCATCTCAGAGTCTAAAGACTCCAGTGAACACACTGATGAAGACCCGGAGGATGTGGAAAAAAATACAGGGAAACTGAAAAGGTCCCGAAAGTCGCGACATTCGAAAAAGCCGCCTAAAAAGACAGTTCTGGTGACCTTAGTTGAACCCGACGATCAGCCCATAGACATAGGTATAGAAGATAGTGGAGTCCGAAATATGGGAGTTAACACAAAATCTCTTTCAAAAATGATAATGCCACCCGTTTCCGAGGCTTACAAGCACTTCAATGACAAGCATAGAGATATAGGAACTCTCATAGATGCACGTTTCAAGCCCACTGACGATGGTACCGTCGTGGACTTTATGAAACCAATTTTAGATAAGTCAGACAAAGGGAACGATAATATTGTGAGGTCGCAACCGGAGATAGATCCTTATAAGATTCATGAGAGAGGTAATGGACGAGCTTACTACCCCGGCTGTGAATATCATTTTCCGGGCAAAAGCCATTGGCGTCGTCTCTTCCAGAAGAACCGTCTTCCCTATCAATCACTACGATGTTGTGACTGGGTTTTCACATTTTTCTATGCCGTGTTATATGTTTTATTCATTTTAGTTTTTTCCATGGCCTGGGTTGATATCATTACCAATGACCAGTTCAAGGCCAGGCCAATTAGCAAGAAGACTCAGCCGATTATAAGCTTCGCTCCGGTCGGGAGTCATCCTCATATCAGAACAATCTCCTTTAATCCTCGTAACAACTCTGATGTCTCTGAAAAGTTTGCACTCATAATGAGATTTTTACAAAAATACAATTACGAGAATTCTGGAAAGGAATCCCGCTTTGGAGTCTGTACACCCAGCAACAAGTTTGGCTATTCCACCGGTCAGCCTTGTGTCTTCCTTAAAGCAAATCGCGTCATTGGTTTCAAAACAGAACCGTATACACACATCGATGAGGTGTCTCAGAGAGGCAACATCAGCAATAAGGATTATTTAGATTTAAAGAATCTATTGGAGAATAATAGTGCTTCGGAGGTTGATCGACAGAATCGTACCTGGATCACCTGCAATACGGGTCAGCACAAGGATATCGAGATTGTGTTTCATCCAGAGCCAGCCTTCAGAACTGAATACACTGATATTGGTGAGGAAACGATTGTGCATGAAGCGGTTACAGCTAAAAGGAGGGCATTGTTTGGACCTGAAGATCTGAATCGTATAGTGGCTCTGGAGATCAAAAATCTAAAGGCAAATGAGAAAGTTCAGGTTAGATGCAAGCTGTGGGCTCATAATATCCGTCAAGAAAAAGAGGATCAGGGTCAAATCGTGTTTTATGTGGTCTTATTGGGTGATCCACCGGGTAAAAGCACTGAGAATGTTACTAGACATCATGATGATTCATTGTAATAGAAATAAATGTTGTGTTTATTAACTAATGTTTCAAATTGCTTTTTATTATTTTAATTATTCCAGGTTCCTCAAGATCGCACAATTGTCACACATGTCCTGCGAACCGTATCCTTGCCACTGTTTGTGTGCATGTGCACCATCTCAAGTTGCGGCATTTTCGTTGCCTTTGCCCTGATCATCTTTAATATTTGGAATAAGCATAGAAGGTACATCAGTCACTACTCTTCCCTTGAATTAAGCCAAGTAATGACATTATTTCTTAATGTTTTAGAGTAATCCAGTCATCGCATCCCGTCTGCAACACAATCATGTTGTTCGGTGTCATCATCTGTCTAATATCTGTCATACTATTGGGTATTGATGGGCGCTTTGTCAGCCCAGAAGAATATCCCAAGGTAAGGAATTACCTTTAAATACTTTCTTTAATTATTATTAAAATTTGTATATATTTTTCCTTAGATATGTCAAGCTCGAGCTTGGTTACTATCCACCGGTTTTACATTAGCATATGGTGCGATGTTCAGCAAGGTCTGGCGTGTGCATCGGTTTACAACAAAAGCAAAAACTGACCCAAAGGTTTGTTTGAATTTCAAGAAATCAAAATAATAATTATATTAATAATCATATATATATTTTTTAGAAAAAAGTGGAACCTTGGAAGCTATACACCATGGTTTCGGGCCTCTTATCAATAGATTTAGTGATATTACTCTCATGGCAGATCTTTGATCCGCTGCAGCGTTATCTCGAAACATTCCCACTCGAAGATCCAGTATCTACTACTGATGATATTAAAATACGTCCAGAGCTTGAGCATTGTGAAAGTCAACGGAACTCAATGTGGTTGGGTATGTACCAATACTCTTTACCATTTCATCATTTTATTATATTAACTTATCCATACTTCAGGTCTTGTCTATGGCTTCAAGGGCCTGATCCTGGTGTTTGGTCTCTTTTTGGCCTATGAGACGCGCTCTATTAAAGTAAAACAGATAAACGATTCACGTTATGTGGGCATGAGCATCTATAATGTGGTAGTTCTCTGCCTGATAACAGCTCCGGTGGGCATGGTCATTGCATCGCAACAGGACGCGTCCTTCGCCTTTGTTGCTCTAGCTGTGATATTCTGTTGTTTCCTAAGCATGCTGCTGATATTTGTGCCAAAGGTAGGAGTACTTCCTTTAAATATATTTTTTTTTAACTACCTTTACATTTCGTACAGGTCATTGAGGTCATAAGACATCCAAAGGATAAGGCTGAATCAAAATACAATCCTGACTCGGCCATATCGAAAGAGGATGAAGAACGCTATCAGAAACTGGTTACTGAAAACGAGGAATTGCAACGATTAATAACACAGGTAAATTAATCGATTATTTTCAATAGATATTTTTATCGAGAAGGAAAGTATTATATCGAAAAATATCTGAGAATATTTTTACGATTAAACTGATTAGATATATATTTACTGTAACATTTTAAGATCGATTTATATATCGACGCTCGGGTCAAATATCAATACAATTTCGATATATCAATTGTATCTTCAATGTCACTTTATCATATGTAATATATTCTATATAAATAAATAATTATTCCTGTATCATTTTTACAGAAAGAGGAGAAGATACGCGTCCTGCGACAGCGCCTCGTGGAGCGGGGTGACGCCAAGAGCACAGAACTGAATGGCGCAACTGGTGCCGCCTCCTCCGCGACATCTTCACAGCCCGCTGCCCTCATCAACACATCCGCACATGGCACACCTGCTGCCACACTCGCAATCACACAAGGTGAGTACCTGGTTCCTGGTTCCATGCCCAGGTGCAAATCCATTCCATTAGCCAGTTGCATGTGGTACTGATATTATTAGTATATTTGCTTTGGCTTGGTCGTTCATAATCGTATTGTTCTCAATTGTTTAATTAGAAATTTTAGCTATATTCGTGGGCATTGACACAATTGATTAGGAAATACGGAGTTCCAAGGTTGTTGATGTTATTGATTTTTAATACAATACAACAAAATGCAATACAACTCTCTTGAACACTACACGAGCTATGATATTTCTTTTTGCATCTTGACACTTTTTAAAAACATTTACATATAAAAAACACAACTTGTTTTTATACTTGAACACATGTTCATTAAATTTAAATTAATATGAGCATTGTTACTGGTTATTATATATAACTTATTTAATTCTAGCAAATTTTTTAATTGATTTCATAAATATTTCATGTTCCTATTCCATTTAGAATTAATTTGGTTGAATCTGAACTTATATACCCTTTAAAAACCTATGCAGTTTTCATTTTCTTATTGAATAAAAATCCACAAATTAAAAAGGTATTATTTGCAAATTAATAGTATTAATTATTCACCTTAACTACACCTTAACTTTCAAGAGGTATCTGAAAACACCTCCGATAATTTGTTTAGCTTTTTATTTTTTTTTTTTTTTAGCTAACAGTATATTAAATACAGACACAAAATTAATACAAGGTAAATGACAATTGCAGAACCACCATTTGTACTCTCTGCACACTAATTTATATTGTCAGCACAGCACTCTGTTATCACCTGTGTTTTTGTGTAAAAAATTTAAAATCTTAAAGTGACATTCAATTAATTCAAAATGTATTTATTTTTCAGATACTCATGAGCATCGTACATGAAAAAACTTGTCAATTTCCTTTGCGTGATAGGTGAATTATAATGAAAAAAATGTGAAATGCGAATAAGGATGCTAACGAAAATAGAAGATTTAATAATGAAACGTACTTAATAAACTTTGTATCAACTTTAAGCTGAGCTAAAAGTGAATTAGTAGCAGCAATTTTGTAGCATAATGAAATATGTATTGTACCTTAAATGTATTTAGAATTAATATTAAACACAAAATACTTTTAACTTGAAAGAAATCTGGCATTAGCAACTAAACTAAATAAATTGTTAGGCTTAAATGTTGAAAGGATGAAACCCAATCTTGTAGGAAGTCAATAGAATACCTAAAGAAAAAACCATAAAGTTAATCATTTTTAAATGCAAAAACGGGAAAATATAATTGTGTGTTTCTTAGAAAATACTGTATTTTGTTTAGGCGAATTTTAAGTTTGAACCTCTTTTGCTCAGTGCTGTCTCCTAGAGCTCTATTTATACTATTTATACGCATAGATAAAAGAAAAACACAGCAAGCACACACAGAATACAATTTTTCCAAGATGGCGGCCTTTCCTGATCCTTAAATATGTTTCACGAGTGTTTTTTAAAGCCAGGTCGCAGCAATACAAACCAAACTCCTAGACTCCAGGAATCAAGCCGCGTATCTCGGTCCTTCTCAGTAAAGGGATTCGGTTTGGTTCCTAATAGCTAAGTTAGCTTTAGGCACTTTGTATAGATCCATGTGTAAGTCCGTGTGACGTGTAAATGTGCACTCGAAAAAAAGTTTTAATAGTTTACATTACTGCAAATCGTACATAGCACAAATTGAATGGGAGGTATAGCAAATCGTAGGTATTGAAAGGATATGTATACATATAGCATAGACTAGTGTAGCATAAAGCGTTAATATTATACTGTGGGTGGGTCGCGGCTCAAGAAACGTTTTAATTTTTATGTACTGTTATTTATAGACGAATTATAAATTAAATGTAATGATACATTTTTGAACGTACTGTAAGTTCTAAAATCGCATTTATAAAGTATATATATTATACACAGAAAATGAGGAATGGAAGAAACCGAACATAATTCAGCGCGTCGTTATATAGGAATTGACTTTATTTGAACTAATGCAAAACTGAAACCTATTGAGAAAGTTGATGAATCCTGTCACTTGCATATTCTCACTTTACTCACTCACCCTCAAAACGAATTCGATCTTTTATATCACAGTTCATTTCAATATAAAAAATATATAGAAAAATATGTTACAAAAAGAACACAAAAAGAACAAAAATCCATCTCAAAAAGTGCTATAAAAAACATACATGGACAACATCAAATTCCTACGAAATGAAAGACTTTAAAATCTAAGCCTTTGAACAAAAGGAGAAGAAAGTAAACAAATGAAAACTATACACGCGATAAACAAATATTGAAATATATGTATATGAAATTTACACATGACAAAGAACATCTCTAGTACATTGATATTTGTTAAGGATCGTTGGAATTTGTAGTTTAATTGGATTGTATTTCATATACATACATATAGCAGCGCTGTTAGGGTAGACGTATGTATAACTCGAGATCATGTATATTGTATAAAGAGCATTTAGCTGCGGCTCCTCCAGGACACAACATTCAACATTCAACACAAAGGCAACAGACCGATCGAATAAATGCAAAAGAAACACTTGTTTTTGAAATCCGAATTAACTACTTGCTTTGCCCTTGAATCACAACCCAAAGAAGAACTTTTAGTAAATTAAGACACACTTTAGCCAAGCTAATTGTTGTATAAATACTAGTACATAGAAAGAGCAAACGTAAAATAAATCCAAGTTTATTTCAAATAAAACCCGAAACAAAGAAGAACAACCCAAATCTACTGTTAGTGACAAATTAAATGAGAACACAAAAATGGTAGCAATATGCAGGAAAAACAAAAAAGGTCAAAGTAAAGAAAAACTCGATATGTTCTTATGAATGTAACATTAACGAATTAACTTAAAGTTTAATAAAACTGAATAAATGAGAATTTTACTGAATAAAAAAAGAGAAAAACAAAACGAAATTAAGTTTAAATTTCATTTTTTTTCGAAAAGGTGGTTTTTTTGTTTTTATAAATCTTGTGGGGAAAAAGTAAGTATATCATTTCGTAATCTATGTATGTTTATTTTTTTACCTAAAAAAGAACTCTTAAATTAATATAAATTCAGAACCACGGTTTTAAACTCGACTAACCGTGTAAGGCAATCTGGGCCCAAGTGCAAGAGAGATAGATATGGTAGAACTTTATTATTATTAATTTTTCAATAATATTTATTACATTCTAATTCTTTTTTTACAATATCATTTTAAATAATTTTTTCAATTATATGTATTTTTTAATATATGATAATATATAATGCATCACATCTGAAGCTTCCAGTACCAGTTAGCGCAATGTTGAAATACTTAATAAAATCGTGATGTGCCACGCGCTTGTGCTGCATTTATAATAAGGAATCAACAACCCTTATTAAAATATTAACCGCATAAATTAATTGATACAATTTAAATAAGAATGATTACACAGCTTGACAACAAATCGAATTTTTTTCTTCATTACCACAAGGCTAAATGCAAAAGCCTCTGGAGAGTACTATGGGGAAGTACACATAACACGCGACTTAATCAGAACTAATAATAGAGACTAAGGTAAAGCATACAATTCTTTTCAATTAATTTGTTATACTTAAAGCTGCGAGATAATCGATGACCCATTAGACACACTCCGATACCCTGGGTTCACTGTACATTTGATTATATTCCTGATGCGCTTTTTAGGAGAGCAGCACCTCTGCCAAAATCGGACACGAGTATTTTTAAATTAGTGAATAAACATCTTTTTGATGACATGTTTTTCCTTCCGCTCTTGCGATGCTAATTTTAAGGCCCAACCCAGACTATGGAGCTGCATCTTTGGTATAACAGATTATACCAGCTGCTGTCTGAGCCGAGCTTAAAAGCTCCAGTCAACGTATCTTCGAACATATTAAGCCCGACTCCAGACCAAGCTCTTGCAGTCAGCGTGCTCGGCTCGCAGCGAACAGCGGTGGTATACAGCTTGCAAGGAGTATCCATAAGATACAAAGATACAAACACGAAAAACACCAAAATGAACTCACTGAGGTTGAGATTGAGCCTGGGCCTGGTCTTGTGCCTGATCGGCATCTTCAGTCAGAGTGCAACGGCCAAGCTGGAGGAGAAGTTCTCGTGGAAGCAATTGGCCTTCGATTGGCCCACTCCGGAGGCCGAGGCGGAGGCCAAGTCAAGTGGCCACTACATCGAGGAAAACAATTTGCCACTGGGCGTGGAGCGCTGGCAAAATAGAATCTTCGTCACTGTGCCAAGGTAAATTACCATATTTATTAACGAAAGTCAACCTCTACTCGTGATTACCTATAGTTATAGTTGTTGTTTTTTGTATTATTTTCTGTTGTTTGGTGTTTTTAATTGTAATTAAATGTCAAGCTAGACTTGCAAAACCATCGAGTGTCGACAGGGAAACCGGTTTCCTGTTGGCTAGTTAAGCTCATACTTCAATTTTTCCGTTTGTATACGTCTATTTAGCCTTTCAAATTGCGGTTTCTAAATGCAAATCTTATCGTGAACGAAATGTATAATTAATAGGAGAAAATACATGGAAAATTCTATAAAATATAATTAAAAACTGGTCTGCAGAGACATTATGTGATGTCACCAGATTTCGGGGCTTACCCCCGATACGCTGGATGGGAAAATTTTCGGGAGCTATGAGTAATCAAAACAATAAACAACGAAGAACCACTCTATCAGGCTACTAACTAAATATAATCTTTTTTGTGTGGTAAACAAATATTAAAAGAGATAAATAACAAAAATTCATGTTTTGCATTTATAATAAATTTATACATATTAATTAAGCATATTTATCTAATGAACAAAAAACTCTACTGTTAAAGTTTAAAAGCGAAAGTTTTAATCGACACGGTTGGTGATTCCCAATGTATGCTTTTATAAAATAGAACAATGAGGCTTAATTTGAAATAGAACAGCTAAATTTTTTTGTAGCATAGCTTACAATAAAATGATTAAAACAATATTATTTTAATTCTATAAAGACCAAATTAAGCCACAAAATTAAACATTTTTTTAAATCTCTACAATCGTTTGAGCAACATTTTAAAATCCTGCCAATGCAAAAGAATTAATTTTATAATATTACAAAAGTTAAAAAGAGGTTCTTATCAGAAAACTGGTGATTTTAATCTTTTATTAATTATAACATAAATTTTAAAGTCTTTAAAGTCGATCCTTGAAGCTGTTTTGTATCTGTGTTGTTAATTTATTTTCCTACCAAAATTATAAAGGTTTTAAGCCGATTTATAGTCTCTCCATTGTTATTTCAAAATGTACCTTCTTATAATCACAAATAATATTTATACATATTCTTTTTTATTTATATTTATGCACCTATTAAATTATATTATTTATATTGTTAGATGGAAGGCCGGTGTTGCTGCTACCCTTAACTACATCGATCTTGATTCTACTGAGAAGTCCCCTAAGCTGCATCCTTATCCCAGCTGGGATGCAAACAAGCTGCCCATTAGTGTTCAGCCCCAGGATCAGAAGACACCGTCTGGTGGACGCTTGGATGCTGACAAGGCCCAGGATGCTGGAGTCCAACTGAAGGATAACTCCACCATTATTTCCACGTTCCGCATACAGGTGGATGTGTGTGATCGCCTTTGGGTGCTTGATACCGGCCTGGCCGACATTTTGGGAAATCCCAAGCAGATAACACCCAATTCAATTTTGGTCTTTGACCTGAAGACGGACACTCTTCTGCGACGCTTTGCTATTCCCGATGATCAGAAGAAGGATGACTCGTTCTTTGCAAATATTGTAAGTACATGAAATTGTACACCAAGATTTTTACTTTGATATTAACAACACTTCATATGTAGGTTGTGGATGCCGACCGGTCCGAGTGCCAAGATGCCTTTGCCTATATTCCCGATTTGGGAGCATATGGCGTCATTGTTTACTCGCTGAGGAACGACAAGTCCTACCGCGTCAAGCACAACTTCTTCCACTTTGATCCCCTGCAGGGTGATTTCAATGTGGGCGGCGTCAACTTCCAGTGGACTGATGGCGTCTTCGGCCTGGCCGTGGGTCCCATGAATCCGGATCACTCCAAGGACATTTACTTCCATGCTCTGGCGAGTACCAAGGAGTTCAAGGTCTCGAACCGAGTGCTGCAGAACGAATCGCATGTAACTGGCGGTGATTCGTACTATGACTTTAAATATGTTGGAGATCGTGGAATGAATGGTCAGTCCACCGCCGAGGTCTTTGATCCCGAGACCGGCGTCATCTTCTACACACAGGTGAACAAAGATGCCATCGCATGCTGGAATATCAAGCGGCCGTACACTCCTGATACTCAGGGACTCATCGATTCCGATTCGCACACTCTGGTCTTCCCCAATGACATGAAGATTGACAATGAGGGCACCATCTGGGTCTTGTCCGACAAGATGCCGACCTACTTGTACAAGGAACTCGACCCCTCGGCCGTCAACTATCGCATTTTGATGGGCCAAAACCGCGATCTCATCAAGGGCACACCATGCGAAATGTGAGCAGGGTCTGCGACATGTGCAATTTTGTATTTACATCATGACATTATTTGTTTGTTAGTAAGAGTCAGCTTAATAAACTATCGAAATGTAATTGGATCAGTGCAGTGGGAGCCTCTAAGCTAGATGTCGGATTTAAGTAGATTGGCGGCCAGTTGAACCTTCTCGCCTGGCTTAAAGGCGGGCATGCCCAAATAGGGACAGGTGGAGCAGCGGAAGGCATCGCCCAGATAGCACTTAAAATAAACATTTACAATAAATAATCAAATAATGAAAGGAGAGTCTACTTCCACTCACATTTCCACAGCTAGACTTGGCGTTCTCAGTGGCCGCCTTGCTCTCCTGCTTCTCACTCTCCAATTCCTCGGCCAGGCCGCAGGAACAGTTCTTGCACGCCTTGCGCTTTCCTGTGGTGCTACACACACGCAGACCAGCCGGGTCCGGCGTTTGCTTGTCTTCCTCATCCAGCAGATCCTCCTCGTCGATAAGGTCTTCATCGTCCCCACTAATCTTCCACACATTCAAGGCACTGGCATTCTTTTTGGCAAAGGATAGTCTGGCCGAGGAACCCGTTTCATAGCCAGGCTTTTCGGCTGTCAGAGCATCGCCGGCATCTTCGCGGCAGTTGATGAAACCGGAAAGCTTGACCTCTTGAAGCAGACTGCCAGCCGGTCCAATGAAGGAGACCAAGTGCAGCTTGCCGCTGGGCTTCAGCATGTGTAGCAACTTTACGTAATTGTCGGTGAGCTGAGCACATTCAATCACGATTAGGTCGAAGCTGGAGTTGGCATAGGAGGCTGAAAGACAAAGTAGAGGTAGATTAGACCTGCTGACTCACTGGATGTGAAATACATCTTTCGCGTTGCTTACAAAAGGACAGGCGGTGCACATTTTCCAAGGCCACATCGCCGCCGGTGGCTGCCTTCAGCTGCTCCACTCGCTTGTCCAAATCGGCGCTGTCAGTCCATATATACAGGGATTTTTGCAGACCCTTAAATTGCTCCATTATTTTGCTCGAAAGATCTATTTGATATTGGTACCAGTGTTGCCAGTAGGGTTGTTAAAACGATATCAATTTATCGATATTTTAAAATGGTATTATATACAAAAATATCATCGAAACGATATTATTTTAAAAATCCGACAAACCGCTATATCCGCATATTTGAAAATGGAAAAGATTATCAAATTTTCAACTAGCTTATAGTTTTAAAAATAAAGTAGACTTTAGAACCTTTAACCGCCAGAAAAAAAGCTAAACAGACAGCACTGCATCGCTATTGAAAAATATTTCAACATATGCATTAGTTCCCACGGCCCTTATTTAAAATGTACGGTCATTAGGATATAGCTTGAATTTTAAATAATTAGAACAAACGTGACTTAGCGTTCAAATAAAATCAATAAAAGCAATTAAAGAAATCGAACATTTATGAGAGACGCCCAGTCCACCATAAATAATATTGTGACATTTACATATAAACTGTATAGAAAAAAAACTAATCGTAAAATAAAAAATAATTTATTTTTAACGAACATTAAAGATTAAATTTCCAGATATTTAAATACAAAACTGATAAAACCAAAATATAATCCAAGAAAGCAAGCAGTTTAGCTATAAACATGCTTATCGCGTGTCACTGGCCCTAAGTCCCGAACAGTGTTGCGAAACGCCAAACATATCGCCGGTAAGAGTGGGCGACAATCATAAATAAGCCTATCGAAACATCGATACAACATCAACATCCCCACTCAGTTTAGTTGTAGTATTATAAATAAAACCCAAGCGCTAAACACAGCTTAAACACAAGCCAGCCGCTTCAACCGCTGGTCGCTAGTCAAGTGCTTCAAGGATACAAATATGTAAACACTGTTTAGGTCACTCGAGTCTAGCCACAACAACAAAGCGAATCCGAATCCGAGTCCGCGACGAAGAAGAAGAGAGTGCGTGAGAGAAACGACAGCTGCTGCCCGTGTGTTGGTGCAGGATAACAAATACAAAACATACAATAACAACAAAGCAGTGTCCAAAGTGCCAAACGAATTTGCCAAAAAAAAAGAAAAGCGAAAAGTAAACCAAGATTCCCAAACGGTCCAAAGCCCAGCCAACGGCTTCCGAGTTCGTTCATCAAGTTCCAATGCAAAGACCATGTGCATAAATGAAGAGCTACAGCCAATTTAATTTAAACGCCGCCGTCGCCCCGCCCGCCATTGCCTACGATAACGCAGCCGCAGCCGCCGCAGCAGCAGCAGTTGCCCAGTCACTTAATCAAGGCTCGCCCCTTGATCACAGCCATCACCAGCAGCAGCAGCAGCGCCAGGACATGCCGCACTTTGGACTTGGCACTGGTCCGCAGCCGCCGCCACCTCCTCAGCAGCTACAAGTGCACCACCAGCAGCAGCAGCAACAGCAGCAACAACAGCAGCAGCAACAACATCAACAACAATTGCAAATGTCCATGCTGCCAGGTCCGTACCGGCCGCACATTGAGGAAAAGAAACTAACGCGAGATGCCATGGAGAAGTACATGCGGGAGCGCAACGATATGGTCATCGTGATACTCCATGCCAAGGTGAGAAGCAAGATCGGGTTAAAACATAGACTAAGCTACCTTCTGGAATCTCTACAAAGCACTCAGTAAATTGCAAGAAGTTCAATGATACTTGGAGTATGTAGCTCAGAAATTTCTTAAAAAATTTAATAAACAAAAAATTCAATATTTTAAATAAATTCAAATTATTTGTGTAACCAGTCAAAGGTTAATACTACTTGAAAATTAATATACTTTTACTTAAATCTTCTTATAAACTTCTTATATATTTTTGATATAAAACAACTTTTATAGAGTATTCCGTTCATTGCTAAAAATATGTACATATATAGCCTAGGATATGCATCAGGAAAAGAATATATTCTTTCAAAATAATTATGTCAAAGGGAATGAAATAATTCAAGCTTTTATTAGTCATAAATACCATTCCCCGTTCTCTCAAATACATTCCGTTACAAATTTACATATTCCTACCTAGGATCCAAGGATCCTGTCCTGTCAAGTCCTGTCCCGTCACATTTCTATCAATCCCAGAAAGACTTTTCTTATCATCCATTATTCGGAGGCGCTAGCTTCTAGTGTCCACTTTAAGGTGTTACATTTTTGCGGTTTTTGCAACGGCAAAAGCAGAGACAGAAATGAAAATGGAATAAAATTGTCGCGGTTGCCTTTTAGCGGTTGGCGATCTTCAAGCGGCCGACTGCCGCCAAATGCGAATCCTTCACACTCGACTGCCCACAAATTGAGCAACGCGAGCCCCGGTCCAGTACCGGCCTGGAGTCCGCAATGACAAATAATTGAAATTAATTACAGAAAATTAACAAAGCTGCATTGCTTGCGGTTTGATTTGATTTGCCGATTTGATCTGGACGCCAATTTGTGCTAATTGAATTCCATTCCTGCACCATCGTGTGTCTGTGTCTCTGTGTTTGTGTCTTTCAGGTGGCCCAAAAGTCATATGGCAACGAAAAACGATTCTTCTGCCCACCGCCTTGCATTTATCTCTTCGGGAGCGGCTGGCGACGGCGATACGAGGAGATGCTGCAGCAGGGCGAAGGCGAACAGGGGGCACAACTATGCGCCTTCATTGGTATCGGTAGCAGTGACCAGGACATGCAGCAGCTGGATCTCAATGGCAAGCAGTATTGCGCTGCCAAAACCCTGTTCATCTCGGACTCGGACAAGAGGAAGCACTTTATGCTGTCGGTGAAGATGTTCTATGGCAATGGCCACGACATTGGTGTCTTCAACTCGAAGAGGATCAAGGTGATATCCAAACCGTCCAAGAAGAAACAGTCGCTGAAGAATGCCGATCTGTGCATAGCCAGCGGCACCAATGTTGCCCTGTTCAATCGCCTGCGCTCCCAGACCGTATCCACCCGGTATCTGCATGTGGAGAACGGTCACTTCCATGCCTCGTCCACCCAGTGGGGCGCATTCACGATACACCTGTTGGACGACAATGAGTCCGAGTCGGAGGAGTTTCAGGTGCGCGATGGATACATTCACTACGGGGCAACCGTTAAGCTGGTGTGCTCCGTCACTGGCATGGCCCTGCCGCGTCTCATAATCCGAAAGGTGGACAAGCAAATGGCCCTGTTGGAAGCCGACGATCCTGTTTCACAGCTGCACAAGTGTGCCTTCTATATGAAGGACACGGATCGCATGTATTTGTGCCTGTCGCAGGAGAAGATTATCCAGTTCCAAGCCACTCCCTGTCCCAAGGAGCCCAACAAGGAGATGATCAACGACGGTGCCTGCTGGACCATCATATCCACGGACAAGGCAGAATATCAGTTCTACGAGGGCATGGGTCCTGTGGCGTAAGTGTATACTTTCCTTGCCATTTAAATGAGTATTTCTAATCCTAAAATTTCCATTTGCCAGTTCCCCTGTCACGCCAGTGCCAATAGTTAATTCACTGAATCTTAATGGCGGCGGCGACGTGGCCATGCTGGAGCTCAGTGGCGATAATTTCACGCCTCACCTGCAGGTGTGGTTCGGCGATGTGGAGGCGGAAACCATGTATCGCTGCACGGAGACACTGCTGTGTGTCGTTCCTGAGATTTCCCAGTTCCGTGGGGAATGGCTTTGGGTATGAGTATTTTTGAAAGCTGCTTCTTGATTAATTCATTAATTAATTGCTCCATTTCGCAGGTGCGTCAGCCCACACAGGTACCAATTTCGCTGGTGCGCAACGATGGAATTATTTATGCCACGGGACTGACCTTTACCTACACACCAGAGCCTGGTCCGCGGCCACATTGTAATAACCAGACCACCGAGGATGTGATGAGGACACGGCACAATAATAACAACAACAACATCACTAGCATTAGCAACAACAACAGCAGCAGCAGCAATGCGGGATCACCTGCCAGCGGCAGTATGCAACAGCAGCAGCATCAGACGCTGCCCTCAATCTCAGAAGTGCAATGGAATAGTCACGGTAGCGGCTTGTCCTGAGTGCAGGATTATTGCATTATCGCATATTTATGTATGATAAGTTACTTATAGTTTTTATTAAAGTCCTTAGTTTGTAGATTTATGACATTTCTCATGCTAATTTTCGACATCTCATGATCCTCTCTATATACCGAATCATCCTATCTAAGATATATATTCGTATCTAGTGCTAGTTCGGAACCAATAGATGTATAAATGCCAGATTGCTCTGTACATACATAACTCGAAAGAAAGCTCACTGACACTGATTTGTAAGTATGTGCGAATATACCTACATACAGCATATAATTCTAGTTAAATATACAAACTGATATAGAAAGTCTATAGACGATTTTTTGTAGCAGCATTTGAGAAATTTTAAGGTTTTTCGTTTGCTATGAATTTCCAAAGAACAGTCTGAAGAATATATTTTTTTTGACTAATGTAAAATGTACCTACTTAATAGATCTAGGAAAAAGAATCCTTTCAAATCGATGTTTTAGACATAAATCTATATATCGAATAGATCGATATTAAGCTTCTTAATCAAGGATGTGTGGATGTGTGAAATCTTTTTCCCAGCTCTATTCAGTACGTAGCCATGCTTTTAAAAACATTCCATTTATTAAATGTAATATACTAATGTATGCTTGTTTCTGTAAATATTTACGGAGTTTACTAATTATAAATAAGAAATTTTAAATTTTTATTAATTCCTTTCCTTTGGAAGTTCATAGCACAAAACGTCGCCTAAAAAATCGAATCAAGAGACGATTTTTATTTCCTAAGAAAGCCTAAATTAAATAATAAAAAAACAAGACCAAAAGCGGGGAAAAATACAATAATTTTATGATCTTTCATTTATGTTCTTGACTAAGCGTGATTTGACATAATTCGTTGGCTTGTCTTTGGGGGAGGTTTGGATTGGGTTGGCTGCCTTAAATTGCTGTGGGAATATGGCCCAGTATCGTGTGAATATGTTTAAACAAAACAAGTGCAGTTCTTCCCACGATACCTGCCAACCCCCTTTTGGGGGAGGGGGGAAAGCCGACAACTTTAATTATTATAGTTCGGTCGGCATTGCTGATGAAAGCTAAGCCAAGAAGCGAATATACGTATTGTTTCCGTTTTGGCCCGGCCAAGGAGTAGAATTTTCTCACAGCCCAAAAGCTGCTGTGAGAATTTTTCTCTACCTTTTGTTGAATATTTATGCAGTTTTTAGTCAACTGCTGGGCCTTTTACAGATTTACAATCTTAGAGATTCGCAGTTTTGAATTAATTATCGCTTACTTCCGCTCACCTCAGAGAAGGTGAGCACCGGCGAAGCAATTAAACTCATCTCCCCGTCCCAGTTGGGAGACATATTTCTTATCAGAGTCAGCCAAGCAAATAAGAAGAAGTTGGAGATGGACACGAAGACGGAGCCCTTGCAACCCCTAAGATGCACTTTTTGGTGTGAGAACGAAAGACTTAAACAACAAACCTCGGTTGCGTGAGAGAAAATGAATTTGAAACGATGATGGTGATGATGTTGGAAAAACCACCACCAAAATGTCCGGGACTCTTAATTGGAACTGCAACCTCTTAAGGTCGCCGGCGTCGTTGTCTTATAAGAAGCTGAATATGAAATTAGTTTGGAATTTTTAATGAACATTCATGGTTTGTCCCCCCAACATTTCCTCGGACTATTCTGACCAAGGTATATAAGTGCGATTATTGCGGTTGCTACTAGAAAGGGGGAGACAGCGACAGCAATTTCTAAAAGTTCTCAGGACTGCTACACAACTTCATACCGGACTACTAAAAAAAGTTAATTATCTTGAAAAAATCTAAGTCTATACAAGTCTTGAGTCGTTCCGTTCGTCTGTCGACTGCTGTTGTTTTTCACACGCTGGGGAAAATGGAAATTCTTGCAAAATACAATGCGTGGGAAATCGTTTGCGTGGGAGTCAGCCAAGAAAAATCAAGGGAAACTATATATTCATATATATATTTATTGTATTCACGAGACTTTAGACACGTACTCTGTTTTAAGCTGCTAAATCCAGAGAAATACGATCAAATGCTTCTATCGATTGTGATCACTTAGGATTTAAAATTTTTGCTCAAATCAATATTACAATATAATTTTTTTTCGGAAGTTTTTATTTGTATTACAAAAAATGAATATGTTGTTGAATTTTTTTTTTTGTAGTTCCTTTTAAATTTTTGACCAATTTATTACAACTATGTTTATATTTTATTTTTATTAATTAAGGTTTAAGTAGCGAATCAAAATATATATAGATTTTTGCCACCATTTGCTTTTAATCTAGGCTTAAAAGCATACATATACGTATACATATGTCAACTTATACTGTTTATTAATTAACAAACAATTAATTTACATTCGGAAAGTATAAAATTAATATTATTATTACGTATAAATTTTACAAATTTTAAAAATTTTAAAAAAAATTATGTGAAAATGGAAACTAAATGGAAATATATAGATCTTTTGAGTAATACTAAAATACCCTGTGATGATATACTCTTGAAATTAAAACAACAACAATCGTCATATGTGAAAACAAAATCAAAGTGGATAAATATTAACGGACCTTTTTCAGAGGCCATTTATTCTCTGATCCTTTTCAAGGACTAATTCTTAAAGTCAAAAATAATAAAAAATTTCCAGATCTTGAAGTTCATGAAAATATATTGAAAAACAACTATTTAGTATATATTTTTCAAAGAAATTTAGATTTTATTAGATTATATTAGATTAGTGGTCCGAATATAGTCTTTCCACAGGTCGAAAATGACAAAATATTTTTATAAAATATTTAAGATTATAATAATAATTATTAATAAATTAATACAAATTTGTTTGATAATAAATTCAATTTGATGATATGGCTGGCTCTTGGTCTGTGGTTATTTCAAATTTTTAATAATACAAGTAAATATTACGAAAATATTAAATATTAATAAAAATACACAGACCTCGGGCCAGAAAACTAATCGGTTTTGTTGATTTTAAATATTCATTGTAGAATTTAAATTCCTTTTGTCTCTACAAAATGTTGTTTTTTACTTTACAGCTCTGTCGGACTTGGATATGTTGCTTATCGACATATTTGTAATATTGACTTATTTAATGCAGCAGACTCTTACCTTCATCAAGTGATTTAAATAATTACTTCAATTATTAATTTCAATGGTTGTTCCATGAAATTTAATAAAATACCTAATGTAATCCGATACCCCAGGGGCTGTATAACCTAACAAGCAGAAGGAGTCACCTTCTTGACGAGGCCTTACATCTTGATTTATGTTTATTAAATGGGCTAAAGCCCTTATTTAAACTATAAAAAATCCATTCATTCAGCATAGATTCATCGAGCCATTTTCTTTAAATTTGTAGATATTGTTTCTCAAATGAAATGCTTCTTTTTCTATTTTCCTGACATGATTTTTTTTGCAAAAATGAAAATAAACTAATAATCGTTGTTGTGGTAAAAGGTAACTATTAATACCGGAACATGCGCTCCTATAGAACATTTTATCCCCGCTGTCCAAATAAAACATTTATAGTAAATTGTATATAATTTATTAAATAATAGAACATTTCTATGTATTTGATACAAAACGTCATCAGTACAGATATGCAGTTAGGATATACAAAGAGATAGATGCAAAATGTGTAGATACAAATGCTTATCTATGGATATGTCAGATTGCTTCTTCATACAGACATCATATTTAATACCGGAATGTGCCGTAAAAATACCTAAGAGAGTTACTGCAAAATTTATACAACAAATTAAACAAAAAAAATATATAAACAAAACAAAGATTGGAAATTTGTTTGGTATAATCGACAGCTGAACAAGACCAAAAGCGGAATGTGCAATTACAGCGAAGGAATGGTGGAGTGGTGGGAGTGAGGAGTTACTTACAGCTACAAAGTACTAAGCTTGATAATAAGTTATTGCAATTGTAATTTATAATTATTATAAATATTTGCGGGCATTATTTGTTCAACTAATTGGCTCGAATGGTTCGATTCTTGTTCATATTGGTCAACATCAACGAAATATATGAAGTCAGCAGATCGTCCATCTTGTAGCCAAGCGACGTCTCACACAGCAGTTTCGAGCCCCGAACCAGATTGCCAATGGTCATGTGGAAATATGTATTGCCAGACGACCAGTTCGAGATGCGTGTAAAGGGATGTGTGACCAGAATGTCCTGTAAGCATAAACATTATATATTACATTACACTTGAAGTTCAACTTTATTTAAAATCTTAATAATAGTTTGTTTCTTACCTTGGTCACTGGATGTATAAGACTCACGCCGTGTTTGTTAATGGCTATCAGTAGCATTTCGGGATAGTTGGGTTCGGTGGTTTGCTTAACCTCGAAGAAAGCGGAGCCAAAGGTTGGCCATCTATGATAATTAGGTAAAAAAATAATTTAAAAACTAAAGCATTTTTAAGATTATAATGAGAGAACGAACCTGTATACGATCTTAAGGAAGGCCACCTTGGCATCTTCGGAAGTCATACCACCATCTTGGTTATAAGAGGCCACAATTAAGCGCTTCCATTCGCTAGTGCTTTGCATCTTCATGATGTCCGAAGGTATTAGTTCTCTCAACATTTGCCTTAAAAAATATAAGTAATAATGATAAGTCGAGTTAAAATTATAGAAAACGTTAGCTTACGGTATTGCCTGAAGCTCCTGTTTATTCTCCCCAAAGCGGACACGGAATACCAGGGCAGCCAGCTTGGATGCCTCTTCCCTTGAACACTTGTGGTAGCCACGCAACAGCTTCGGCAATTCCTGATGATAGTGGAATATAAGATCCGCATTGCGATCCTTGCCGGGCACTGTGTTCGTCCACAGCTTCTTCATAAAGAAGACCTGGTAAGTGAACTGTGGATTGGCCCCGTCGCGTATGGGTCTCGCTTTCTTTATCCAATCCGTCAGATGACGCACGAAATCAAAGAAGAAATCGCCCTCGGGCACCGATATCACCTTATCGGCAATCTTTACAAACAGGGAGAAGCCCTCGCTAGTGCGCAGCGACAGGCGTTGAGAGATATTATTGCAAAAGTCCTTGGCCCTGGTGGAGCTGTCCACCTCGAAGGCCTCGTCTGTGTCGTCCGGGAAGTAGACTTTATGGAATATTTGTGTGGTCTTGTGCTGTATGGCCTCCACTTCCACCTGATGCGGTGGATACTTGCGTTGTCCATGGCGTATGGTTTTTTGCAATCGATGCATAGAGTCCTATAAATTATTAATAAGATTAAAATAGTTAGTAATCTTATTAGCTTTGTATGTAATCATCATAACATACCTGCGATATAGGATGTCGCCGGGTGCGCAGGAAGAGCAACAGTTCCTTGAGCAAGCCCTGTGAGCAAGCGAATAGACCCGTAGCCAACCACATCAGCTCCCAGCCACGCTCCTCGGACATGCGATTGCGGTTGTCTGTCAACTGCTTCATCAGCTGACAGTATATCTCGTCCCGCAGAATCTCATGCTTGAGGGGCCCATCGAAGATGTGATCGGTAATCTCGTTGCCCATCCGCGGCCGCTTCGAGGGCAGATCTCCCATGTACTTCAGTATGGCGGCAAAGGCAAAGCAGGCCTCCTCCGCCAACTCTTCTTTGCTTTGTAACTTCCGTAGCAACGGCGCTTTGATAGGATCCCTTGCATAGCGCCACAGCTCTTCGCTCCTCTTTGAACTCAACGTGAGAGTTTTCGACATTGTGCGCTTTGGCGGCAACCGGAAGTGATCCAGGGCATATTCCATCAAAGTGTGGGGTCGATCCCTGGCCTCAACCACGCCACCATTCGATGCCATACTAAGGCGACGTCCATGATGCGCCTCGTCTATGTTAAAAAGAGCTAGAATATCCTGCGGCGGCTTGCTTAGCGTTGGCAGTACATAGACAGTCTCGGCGGGAAAATCTCCACGTTCCTGCGACCGATCACAGCGTCCTATGCACCAGCCGTTGTTAAGTACAGATTCTCCACAAGATTCATCCTCGAGGATAATAAGGTCACCTTTGAAGAAGGACAAGAAACTCGTGCCATCCGAAGGGGCGCGATAGTCCTGTAGGGCAATGACGAATTTGGAACTGGAAGGATAAGGAAAGAAAGTAAATATTAATCAGTATTTAAGCCTTCGAGACTTTCTCTTCCTCCAACTTTACGTACCGCTTTTTCAGACCATCCAAGAAGTAGACAACGAGATCCCGAATATCCTCAGCATTGGGACTTTGGAATGTGAACTCCTCGCCACGAACCGTGGAAAGGCTAAAGGTTTGGGTAAACACTTTGTTGGTCTTCTGGCTGGAAACGGCAGTTATCTCAGGGAAGCTTAATTCCAAAAGAACTTGCTCCTGATCGTCCACCACATAGACGCCCGTCCAGTTAACCGCTATGATGACGTCGTTCTTCGGCAGATTCGGACCCGAATTGCGATAGGCCTCATAGAAGCGAGAAAATAGAAGGGGCCACTTGTATTTAGCATAGCTGACAATATCCTCCTTGATCTTGAGCGGTGCAATCTTGTCCTTGACATAGTAGGATTTCTTGTAGGCCTGCAGAACCAAGGCGGCCCAACGTTCGATGGCCTTGTCAACGCCGCTCAGACAAAAGTCGGGTATGAAGTTGGGCAGCAGAGTGAATAGGCGCTCCATGGACATGTCCGTTCCATATTCTATAAAGTACTGCTGCGCCGCAATCATGGCCAAGTCCTCCTCCTTGTCGCAGCGGTATTCGCCGAACTTAACGCCCCTCACCACTTGCTGATAGATTAGGTTGGTGGCCACCTGATCGTGCGTGGGCTCATGCCAAGGGGCGAAGATCTCCTTGCGGAAGAAAAGACGCCAAGGGGCATTACGCTCCTGGGCACCCTGCTCCTTGGCATACTGTTCGCACTGGGAAATTGCATCCATAACGTGGTCGCCGCCACTACCCAAGGAGCTAACCTTGTCAAACAAAGCTATGTACAGCGAGAAACCAAACTGATCTTTTAGGGTTATCTTGTCGGACAATTGATTGCACAGCTCCCGGGCAGTGGTCGCTGAATCAGCCAGGAGGGTCTTTGTGTTGCCATCCATAAAGGTGATGGGCAACATGATGGGCTTCTTTGACTTGGTGGCCTGCAATTCCAGCCACGAAGGCGGCTGGTTGCGAGTTCCATTGTTAAAGGTTCGCTTCAGTCGCTCCTCGCAGTATGGGGCATATCCGGGGGGACCCTCACGGATAAAGGCCCTCAGATAATTTACAAACTTCTCCGATGGTGCAAAGCAGCCCACGCACAGAGAAAGCAGGATCCAGCCTCTGGCATGCGATGATTTCAGTGGATTGTTAGACAACTGCTTGCAGATCTGGCAATAGATCTCGTCTCGTAGCTCAGCTCGTAGGATACCATGGCCGATGATAAAGTGTAGCTTTTCCAGGTTCGATGTGGGGCGAGACTGCAGCCAAGACTGGTAACTATCCGCTGTGTACTCATCGTCCTGAAGCCGCCGACGCACATCCTCACCCAGCTTGTTCTTTCGCTTTAAAGTTAGCGATACAAGTTTGTGGCGAATGGACCGCGGCTTTTGCTTCAGGAAGGCATCAGGATCCAGGCCCATGAGTTGAGCCTCTTGGAATTCCTAAAGAAAATGATTAAAAGTAATGATTAGAAATCTTAATTAAGTATTTATAGGCTTTAAACTCACTTTACTCCTTATGAAATTACGACCCAATGTGGCCGTCACCTTGGACATGACCGAGGTGGTGTCCATACGATCCATTGTATGATATTTGGGCTCTGGCATGTCGCCCGTAAACCTTAGGATGGTAATCCACAGGGCTTGGGCAGCAAGTTGATCTCCTTGCGTATGCAGCGGCAATAGGGGATGCTTTAGGGCCTTCTTCGCGTACTGATGATTTACATTGCCCTGGAAGTAGGTGGCGGCGAATTTCTGAAACTTGAATTCCGACAGATCCTCCTCATCCTCAGAGATGTGTATGGGAGCAATGATATCCTCCTGGTTAACGTTCTGGGCATGGGGTAGATCGTTAAAAACCGATGTCTCCCTGCCACCGTGAGGAGTGGGAGCATCGCTGCTCGAGTCGGGCAGAAAGTCGAACATGGCCTCCACCAGTTTGCCATCGTCCACTGGTTCCTCCTGCTTGCGGGCCGCATCGTTGATAATATTCATTTTAACCTCCACGCGTCGTCGGTCCTCCATTTGCTCCTGCAACTCCCGTCGCTCCAGTTCGTGCAACCTGTCGCGGTAATGTTGCTCCGCTATTTCTCGAGCATGTTTGTTGCCGCGATGCAACAACTCCTGCTCCTCCAGCTTTCGCAACTGCAGAACCTCTGCGAACTGCTTGTGCTCGAGGCGCAACTTTCGATATCGACGGACGGCAATCATGCGTCGAACATGCGACTGGATCTTGATGACGGCCCACATCTTGTGGCCATATTCTCGCCTCACCAAATAGCCCCGTGCATGGGCTTGCAGGCCAACAATGTGGCCTCGCAAGTGGCGGAAACGATGGGATAGGACGCGAGAACGGATCAATGCCTGCAGGCGCATATAACCCACTCGCATGTTCCGGTAGCGCTTCCGCTGGGCATAACCCTTCCAGAATCTCTGGACGGTGACAACCGCGGCTCGAAGTCGAAGGAACCTTCTGCGGTACACCCAACCTCGAATGCTGCGCTGCAGTATGAGAATCTTGCGCGTAAGAACACGATCCCTCTCCTGCTCCAAGAACAAATCGTGGGCATCCTTCAGAAAGACCTTTGTGTGACCCAGCTGATAGTCGGATTTGCCCAGGACAATTGCACAAATTCGGGAAGTGGCCGCCTGGCAATCGGTTCGATGGGCTGGCGGCACTCCCGGTATGAGGAAACGATATCGCTCCACAAATTCACGGAATCCATGACGGATGGGATAGCCAGCACGCCGAATTCGAATGGTTTCCATCATACCCGAGTACCGCAACTGACGGCAACACAGTCCCCGGTCAAACATCATCGGTTTCTTTAACTCGTTGGGTTTGATGCACCGAATAAAGAAGGGCTGACAACTGCACAGTGTTTTCATCAGCGCATCCAACGATTTTCTAAACTGCGTGGAGAGCGTCGGCGTTCTCTTCCTGGTCTCCGCTCCCATCTCAATGTCCTGCGCAAAAATTTGACGCAGGAACTTATTGCCACTCTGGCTAACCAGATGCAACAAGTCCGGACTGAAGGTGTCTCGGTTCTTGTCCAGGAATCCACGCGTATCGTAGAAGACCACGCCAGCAAAGTGATTCAGTCCGAAGCTGGTGTTAATATCCGACTTTGGCTTCAAGTAGTTCTTGTGCGCTCCGTGCGTCTTGTGCAATTTGGCCAACATGGTTGTGTCCGTGCCCTTGGGAAAGCGAGCCTCCTCGTCTATCAGGGCCATAATGTTCAGCTGCTTGATGGCTATCAAATCGAGGGCATCCTGGTTGTCCACAAATTCGATATGCTGCCAGTTGATGGCCTCGTGATTGTACTCCTCCTGTTCCAGCTTAAAAATGTGCTGCACAAAGAACTGTTGTAGATTTTCGTTAGCGTAATTAATGCAAAACTGCTCGAAGCTGTTCTGATCAAAGTTCTCAAAACCAAAGATGTCCAGCACACCGATGGCGTTACGCGAGGTTCCGCGCGGCTTAAAAATCGCCGTATTTATCTTCCTCACAATGTGTATAAACAGTCGTCCGTATATTCCCTTTACGAAGGCATCGCGCACATCCACAGATTGATCCCGCGACAAGGTCGATACCACCGTCTCGCCATGGGCGAAAAGTGTGCGTCTTGTTAGAGCATCGATCAGCGGCTGTATGGGCAATCCCAGAAGCCCGGCCACACGCTCCACATTAATGTGCTCCGGTATCTCGGTGGCATCCAGATTATCCACCACCGTCGCCTTGTATTTGATATTTCCACAATGCAGCAAGGCAGCCAGTAATTTGATAATCTCCCAGATTTCCTGATCGGAGAAGAGCAAAACTTTCATAGCGGAACGAATGTCGGAGAATTCGGCGGCATCGTCACGACCCTCGCAGGTTATACTGTTGCCTCCAGTCAGATATCTATGATAATTATTAGGTAATTTATTTAAATATTATAAAATTTTAAGAATATACTTACTTGTAGTCCGCTGCTATGCCCAGATCGAGACGACTCTTCTCCTCGGCGGATAGACCAGCCAAAATGCAATAAAACACATGATAATTGCGTTCGCTATGGTTTTGGGAAACAATGCGCGACTTCTCCAACAGATATTGTTCGATTTTGGCTCCTTCGATAACACCATTAGCGCTAAAGTGTATATCTATGTACTTGCCAAACCTGTTGAAATATTAAGTTGATTAAATATTTATCAACATATATATATTAGTATTTACCGAGATGAATTATCGTTGCGTATGGTCTTGGCATTGCCAAAGGCTTCCAGTATGGGATTCGCCTCAAGGATCTGCTGCTCGATCCACGAATGCTTGCCACTGATGGCAGCCAGATATTGCAGTATAAGCTTTGTGCTCTCCGTTTTTCCTGCCCCCGATTCGCCAGATATCACGATGCACTGATCCTGGCGGTACCTCTTCATGTGCGCATACGCATTGTCACCAATCGCGAAGATGTGTGGCGGAAGTTCTCCAATTTTACGCTCCTTGTAGAGCTTAATCTGGTCGGCCGTATAAATGGGCAGGATCTGATAAGGATTAACGGCAACCAATATGGAGCCGGTATATGTCTGAAATGATGATAAAAACACAGATAAGTTATTGTAATTTATGTTTCTTAGGAAAATCTTTCCGATATCTAATTAACTTTTATCTAGGAATATATTAATTATACTTTCTTTTATGAAAATTTTAAAACAAATTAAATCGGAGTACTAAGGATTGAATATTATTACCAAATTGGGTAGCTGTAGCTCTTAAAATCTGTAGTTTTATTTAAAGAAAATTATAGACTTGGCTAAATTGAGTCTCCTGGAGATACTGATCAAGAATATATACACCGTCTACATACATTCTCGGTTCGAATTGTGTAAGTATAATTTGTTAAGACATTTGCTGTTCATACCGGAAAGAGATATTTTTTTTACAACTTTTATTGTAAGATTATTGTAAAGTCTTGTAACTGGGCCACGATATCAAAAAAAGATATCAAACTCTTAAGCCCTTTAATGTGAATGGTTAAGATAAGAAAATGATAACGCTACAGGAATATTTAGTTTACTTAATCAGAAGAAAATAAACTTACTTTGGCAAACCGAAGTTTATATCCCCTTACAGTTTGCAATTGAATTATAGGATTGTATCGAAAATTGATTCTAACTAAGTTTAAAATACTTGAAGTTTTTGTATCGATGTTTGTATGTAATTTTATATTGAATTATTTCCGACAAATCAAAGCTTAGTTTTAATTACAAATTTTAATTGATGTCTGCCTAAAGAGATAGATCTACTCGACTGTTGGTGCTGATCCATTCTCCAGTCTTACAAGCTTCTGACAAAAATGTAAATGCCCTAGAAGGGTATTAAAAACCCAACTATCTATAGAATAACTTTTTTGATAAATATTAAAAATCATTTACTTACATATATCAGATTCTCTTTATAACGTATAAGCAGATTCCGCAATATGCCAGCCTCATGCAGATCACCCAGGGATATCATGTCCTCCACACCCTGGACGGAGGACGCGTGCATGGCCTTGATCCGACGCTCAGGGGCCAGCCACACCTCGTCGCCATCATCGTCGCGCACCTGGATGCGACGACCCTCCGCGGAGATGACACGTGCTCCAATGGCCACATCGAATTCTCGCCCCGAGGCGGGCTCTATCCAGATGTAGTCACCCTGTAATATGAAATTTGTACCGTAATTACAATTCTTGAATTTTTGTTTTGCTTTGTTTTGTTTTGCTTTTTTAACATTTAACGATTTTACAATTTGACATTCAGTTTTTTACGAGGCTGCCACTGCCGCATTCGGTTGCCATGGACATGAGGGCCATAAAAACTTTTCATTATTTGTTGTAAGAATCACTTGAGCGGAACGTAAAAAATAGTGATACCAGGGACAGACGTAGGCCATTCATGTACAGTGGTTAATGGATATATATTTATGAGCCACAGGGAATTTTATAAGTTTAAAGAAAAGGGGTTTACAAATTGATATAAGGCTGGGTTTTCGGATCACATTTATTTGAAATTAGCACTTAAGAAGTTCAAATTACTTTTAAATATATCTAGTATTATAAGGAAAATTAAGAGAGGGATTAAATTTATATTGATCTTCTTAGGTTCTTCATATTTCAAGAAATTACATTGAAATCGACCTATTAATTACATTTAAATTCATTATTGAATGTTTCAAATATAGCATCTCATAGAATTTCTATGACCAACTTAGTCAACTTAATTCTTATTTTAGATTTTGATTATAAAGAAATGTAGGGGATGTATTATATAAGACTGTCTTTCGAAATCATATTTATCAGAAATTATTTTGTTCAAAAGGCTGTGTAATATACTTTTTACTGTTTAAAGAAATTACATTAAAATATACTGATTTAATTTAATTTAATTTTAATTTAATGACAGCCAATCTTTTTCAAAAATATAAATATATGTAAGCCTTTAGACATGCAAAAAAGGCCATCGCGACATTTTCACTTTTAACTTCAGTCAAAACCAACTTAGTCACGTTCTTATTTAAGATATTGATTATAAAGAAATGTAAGGGATGTATAATATAAGACTGTCTTTCGAAATCATATTTATCAGTAATTATTTTGTTCAAATGGCTGTGTAATATACTTTTACTCTTTAAAGAAATCACATTAAAATATACTGATTTAATTTAATTTAATATTGGATGTTCCAAATATATTATCTAATAGAATTTCAATTATTTTTAACAATGTAGACTCAATTTAAGATTTTTTTTAGTAAATAAAATTCCAATTAAATTTGACCTATTGAAAATAAAAGATACTTTCAATATTTCTATCCACCACTGTACTCAAAAGAGATGTTGAAGTTTAAGTGAAGCATGGCTTACACACATACATACCGGAGAATGAAACTTCCGCTCGGTGCTACTACTAGTTAGTTAGTTAATGTTCGAGCAACAGAGATGGGACACCTCGATAGGGAAGAATGATCACACACACACACACTCTTGGTAAAATGCCAAGTCCTCTCGTTATTACAGATACTTACACGTGTTACAATCACCATATTCGTCCTCCTTCATTTACTGTTCCTGGGTTGGCATCCAAATACAAAAGCCCGGTTGCTCTACGATGCTGCCTTCTCGTATTATTTTCTGTTCCAAAAGAGAACAAGTGGTAGAGTTAGACATGGAGCCACAATAACAAATTCAAGTTAGCGCCTCTGGCAGTTAAAACCGGCTTGGAATAAAAAAATTAAGGTGAAGTTTACGGTAAATTGAAAGAATTCACAACTTGTCGCTGTCTTCGCTGTGGTCCGTGGACGTCTTATTGTCGTTTGCTGTTGGTGTTGGTGTTGTTGTTGGTGTTGTTGTTGGTGTTGTTGTTGGTGTTGAGTCTCTCTTCCCATCTTGAAGTAAACGTCTTTCTTTGGCCATTTGCCAAACGCACTCTCATTGACTAAGAGTCCCCCCAACTAAACTGGCAACTCATTAACAAAAACCCCAATAAAAAATTAGTCATCAGAGTCTTAGCACATCCATAAAACTCATACTTTCGATACTTCTTTTCTTCTGCTCGAACTAGGGAAACCAAACCCGAGCTAACCTCTACGTGACAGTCGATCTTTTTCAAAAATATAAATATATGTAAGCCTTTAGACATGCAAAAAAGGCCATCGCGACATTTTCACTTTTAACTTCAGTCAAAATAAAACGTTTGAATGCGAGAACCACCGGAAAAAGCGGGCTCACACTAAATTCGATGGTCTCAATGAACGTTTTTTGTTATGCAAATTATTTGGATTTCATTTAAAAAATTTACTTTCATTACATTATAAGGTAAGGTGGACTTTTAAACGTTTGTTTTTAGTTTGGTTAGAGAAAACTTGCCCAATAACAAATAATAAATTACTTGTTACTTTAATTGATAACATTTTGAAAGTATGTTAAAGCAAATAAGTTGGTAAACAAATAGGAAACAATGACCAAGCAAAATATATAGATAAACATCAGCAAGTTCCATTTATACTTTTCTATATAGATTATTTTAATTGAAAAAGTAACAAAATTTATATTTTATCAAAATTTGTTTCATTGAAATACTAATATATTTACGTGAATCATATTACAGTTATTTTTTATATAACACAAAAAATGTACTTTGATCGGAGACTATTTTAGTCAAAAGTTTAATGTGGGTCTAGTTGCTATTTTAATTAAAAGAAGAAGCTATATCCCACCATTGCAACTTAAATCTGATCCATTGTGGCATCAATATCTGGATCAACTTAATAACAGAACTGCCTTTTCTTAAGCTAACCATGAATCAGAATTTGAAGCTGGCGTCATTTCTCAGTCGGTTGCCAGCCAAACCGACTTCCAATTGGACACCCCATCCATCATTTAACACATGGACCAACGACAACGGGAGTAGAAGTATCAGGTAAAATATAGTTACTCATTCGAAGGTGTCTTCTCCTCCTCTCGCCACAATTGCAACATGCCAGCAACCAAAAAAAAAACAGCAGCAACCAAATTTAGTGGCACACCAAGTGAGCCGCCGGCAAGTACATATACTCATATATACATAGACATATGTATATATATACATATATACCAGTCTGGTTACGCTCTGCCGGTTAAAATACAAGTCTAATGCACACGGAAACCGATCCAAAGTCAAACTAGAGTTCTCACTCACACATTTTTACCTGGCAACGTGAATTGTTGGTTAGAGTTCAACCATTTAGTTGATACATACAAACAGTAAATGTATCAAATTATTAAAAATCTTTCAAAACGAGCTTAAGGGGACTATATTAAAAAAATGATTTAATATTTCCCGTTTAAACATCTTTAAAAAAAATCAGTTTAGTTACAAACAGCGGTGGGCACATAGTTTCTCTTTCAGCTCCCGGTACTCTGTTTATTATTTTATTTTTTTAAGCTCTCACGAGAATTCAAAAAACAAATTTTGTGAGTGTGAGCGAAGCAAATAAAGATCGTACCAAAAAAAAAAAAATAATATAATAAGCTTTTACATAAATTTTTGGAACAAATTATAGTTAAGCTAACATAGAAGATAAGAGAATACAATGTGGATAAAGTGGATAGACTTTAAATACAACTCTCATATTCGAAAAATATGTATAAAATATGCATTTACAATTTAGGTAAAATGTAGAAAATTTATAAATAATAAATAATTTGAAAATAAAGTCTGGATTTAACTTTTGTAATCGAATTTAAGAGACCACTGTGACTATTTACAGTCATACCCGAATTATTTAAAGCTGATTGCTTAATAATGCTGCTATTATCAGCGACCCTTGAGTGCAGGTGGAGATAAGAGCCAAGCATTCAGAAGAGGTGTAAACTCAAGGTGTGCAGGGGCTGAGACTCACATACACAAAAATATACATATCTCTGGGCATGACTGAAATATTAACTCTCGTCTAAGAATTTTGTCCAAACAGATTTCGGACTGTTTTCAATAGTAGCTAGTGGCACGTACTTATGAATACATATAACTCAGTGCAAGCGGGAGCTCGAGCAAAGAGCAGCACGTGAGTGAGTGTTTTGAGTGAGTTTTGTGATTCAAGAGTTCATCGAGAGTCATTAGTGAAAGTTCATGTGTGGTTTGCCACGTAAAATTGCGGTGCTAATGCAATCTACAATACAACAAGCACATATTCATGTACCTATGCACATACTGATGTAAATAAAGTAATATTGCAAAAGCAATTTTCATAATGTTTTCGCAACTTTTTAGTTTGACATTTGACTTGGTGTTGTTAGCGTTTTTTAGGTGATCTGTGCAACACCGGCAACGAGACTCAGGAGACCAATCTACCAGTTTTTCAAACAAATGTATTAATCCCAAAATCTAGAAGATATCAAATTCATAAAACTTGACCACTTGCTTAGCTACTCACCCTATTTATTCAATGCTCTCACAAGATGTTTTAAAAACAAACCCTATATAACTCACAAACGAAAGCTATCTAAAAGAATTATGTTCAGTTTTTATTTTACTAGAGAAAACCTTTAAAAAAAAAGTTTCACCAAACAAACAGAAAGTCGCGAAAGCCTCCAGCAACAACAATAACAACAAATGAGCCACACAAACACAACATTGTGGAACATAGGCAGCCCGAATGGAAGCGCAAAAATAAAAAAGGTTGCGATGGGAGAAGAAGCAGCCAAGCCAAAGCCAGACCCAAAACCGGCTAATGAAAAGCGTTTATATGAAAAAGGGTTTTCCAATTGTCCACACACACGAAATGTCCCGTTGTGCAACCGCAGCAAAAATAACAAACCGGACAAACAAGTGTTGTTGTCAATAGGAGAATTCTTGGCCGCTGGAACTTGGTTCAAACTCAAGGAGAGAGACAGACAGGCGGACAGACAGAGAGACGGAAAAGAGAGTGAACGAACACAAATGTGAGAGCAGAAGAACGAGCAACAGGCGGGTGGGAAAGGGAAGGGAAAGGGGCTCGCACCCATTGAATTTGTTGCACTGAGCCGCTCTTTACGCATGCCTCTATCCCGCTCGCTCCCCTGCCATTCGGCAGGTGTCTATTATGGTATGGTATCCGTGTGTGCATGTGTGCGCGAGAGAGTGGCCGTGGCCTGTGCATGTTAGTACCGTTCTAGCCAACGAAACCTGAAGCGTAGCTATAATTTGGTCACTCGCTTAAAGCAATAAAAATGCATTGGAGCCACGTCTTCGTCTCAAGAAATGAAAATCAATTATAATTAAAATGGGACAGCGGGATGATTTCGGTGACCCTTGTCATTATCTCTTGTTTGTTGGTTTTTCTAGTTTCACACTCACACAAACCACCGACACGAATTCCAGGGTTATTGCACTCTTTTTTCCAATCACTCTATCTTTTCGATTTGCCCCAGAATATTGCACTCTCCGTTTGGGCTGGAAACTGAACTTATTTTGGTTTTAATTAACACTTTGGCGACTTGGAAGTGAACCCGACGAAAGCGGGACATTCGTTTTTTTTGAAAACAGGTTACATAAATAGGTCACGCACCAACGATCGCAGGAAAATGCAGCGCGCCGATTGCTCTCCGTATATTGTCCCTTTAGTCAGTCAAGCAACAGGTTAATAGCTTATAATTTTTGCATCGTGACCGTTGTATCTGTTGGCTTTCTTTGATCAATTCACAGTATAACTTACACCGAAAAAGAACTAGGGTTGAACCAATCAAAATATCAATATATCGATTTATTTTTCTCAAACTGATGTATTTATATCGTGATCCCAAATATCGATATTTCGATTATTGTTTGGTCACGCTGAAAATATTACATTTTACACGTTTAGAACACCATTTTACACGCAGAATTTTCCCGCCAAATCTGGCTTTTTTATAAGTCGCGAAAAAAATGAGAATTTTGGAAAGCTGGAATTCTGGATTTTATTTTAAAGGTATTTGGAGTTTTTCCTCTTTTTTAAATTACCATTATTGTTTGTTACTTATAAAAACAGTTTTAATAAATATATTTAAACCGATATCAACATACTGATTGAAAAGAAAAAAAGAAAGAAATATGACAGTTATTAAAACTTTTGTTTTCTAATTTATTCTCACTACTTTTAAACCATAGATTATTGAATTAATAATAGTTCGTGAAAGTCCCTTAAGCCACCTTAATACTACAGTAGCATTTTGGTCAAAATGATTAATTTTCCAAAGATAAATTTAAAATAAATCTAGTTGTAATAAAAGTTGCATGTATATATTTAAAAACTTGTATTTGTAATATATTTTAATAATGTTTTTACATTGGATTTAAATATTTTTATATTCTGCAATAAAAAAAAATTTAATTAAATAATTTGTGATATTGTCTATAGAAGCCAACTTGATGTTTGGTCTTTAATATATATTTTTGTCATTTATTCAGTAGACTTATAATAACCTACAAAAATATTTTAATAAATGCAAAAATGAAATTATTTTTTTATATTCGATCATGTTTTTGTTTTTAAAGTTATCGATATGCCACAACCGCCAAAAAAAAGGTTGCATTTGAAAATGTGGCTGCAATATGACAATCAAATTAATTAATATAAACTCTTTATCATTTATAAAAATTTTAATTTATATAAATGTACCTTTAAAATTGTTTATACTTGTACTTTTTTAAGAACTTTACGAACTAATTCTCGTTTCAGATTTTTTCCGAAGTTACAGCAGCTTTTGCATTATTATTTTCCTTTGTTTTTTTTTTTTTTTTTGTCGAACTAATTTATACCCTTATTTTAAGATCAGCTGAACTTATTTAAAACATTTTAAATTTATTTCTAGATTTTAACTTTTTTCCAAATTCCACATATATCGTTCATTAAGGCTTAAACTCAATCTGAACTACGAGACGGTTGTCAAAACTTATGTAGCTCTACTTAAATATGTTTAAATCGACTCGCCTGTTGATGCTGATCGCGGAAATTCAAAGAAAACCCGGGCAATTGTTATTGACGAACTCCAGCTAAGTAGACTTTCAAGTAAAGCGTATTTAGATTCCACATTTCGTGACGTCGCATGCTTCTTATGGGTAGTATCAGTGGACAGATAGTGACAACGTCCGGCAGGGCTCGGTTTTATCAATAGTTCATGTTTATTGAAAGTTTCTTTTTCGTTTGGGTTGTCTGTGTGTAAGCGCATGCTCCGTATGTGGGCAGCAATTACAAAATGTTTCGTGTGTCTTTACAATTTATTAAGAATATGTGGATTTGGATGGGGGAGTTAGCAGAACTTCCAACGGTTGCCGCACTCGTTGCACATGACAAAAGTGGTCATGGGCTCGTCGGCGGATCGGGTCTGCAGCTGGTTGTAGGTGCAGTTGCGCTTCTTGCACTTGGCGCACTTGAGGAGATCTGTCTTGGTGCCCTGCACGGTGGCCAGTTGGGCATCGTTGATGGCCTCCTTGACAAACTTCTCGCGCAGCTTCTTCATCTCATCGCTGGCCATCTCTTCGGGGGTCATCTTCGCCAGCTGCTTGGCAGAAACAGCTCCACACATAAAGTTCCCGCGAAGGCCCGGATTCTTTGGATCCTTTAGGTTTGCCACCCGCGATCTGATGCGGTTCTTGTACTTCATATCCGTGTTCTTGAACTCGGCATAAATTGCGTCCTCGAGCTCGGCAGCCATCTCCTCAGGCTCGCCGCAGCCCTCGGGCACCTCGCCGATCTTGAGCGCAGTGGCCAGCATTTCGCGGCACTTCAGACGAACTGCATCTGTCATACCACCGGAGGGGAAAGAGCTCTGTGACGACGAGGGTTTCTTCTCCTCGCGTTTGTCCTTCGACGAGCTGCTGCTGCCGGACTTACTATCCTTACTAGAGGAAGATGACTTAGCGGCGCTCGAGGGTTTAGAGGCACTGCTATTGCTGTTCGACGAGCCATCCTTGCCGGCGGAGTTGTGGTTGGGCGTTACCGGTGCCGGGCTAGCCAAAAAACGTTTCCAGTTCTTAATCAGAGTCTTGGCCAGCGCGATCACCTCGTCATCCTTGCTGCTCTTCCGTAGCTCGTTCACAGTCATGCCGATGCGCGTCTTCGTCAGTATATCCAAATTAATGTTGAGCGTCTGCAGCGTCTTTAGCAAGTCCAATGCCTGGTCCTGTCCCTGTTAGGGCGCATAAAAAATATAGTATTTGATTATGTACAGCTCCCGCAAATAAATGGATGATTTCCGGCTCCGAACTCACTGTGCCATCGCTCGACGTTGATATCTTGTCCATCTTCTTCTTAATCCGGAAAACTTCGTCCTCTACGCTCATTTTGTTCGACTAAATGTGCTGGGTAAACAAGGTGACAGAACATAGGTTAGGTTACTATTCATGTGGGCATTTGTTTAAAAAACTTATTCGCATGTTATGTTATGCCAAAACTTAGTTTTACCTTTTTCCCTCCAATAAAATTTGTTTACTATTTTTTTTTTCGTTCTGTATTCACAGAACAGTAGTGCTTAGAGGTGGCAAAACAGCAGAGCACTGTCGATACTATCGATGTTTAGATATTGTTTTCAAAACACCAGCTCAAGTAGTGCTGCAAAATATAGATAAAACATAGAAAATATCAACATACCTCTACTCTTTGATAAACGTAAATATTTATATTGATATATCCAAAAAAACAATTTTTGAAAATTATTTTCGATATTTTCGTTTTGGAACTCAGCAATTAAATGCGTTGTTTGTTATACACGACAGACTTCCATTTGAGGTAATCTTTAAATCTATATAAAATAGATCTTTGGAATTTATCCCTATACCAAAAGTTGTTGCCATGTTATTAATCTTAAAAATATTAACTCTATGAATTAATTTGTCTTGAAAAAAAGGTTTACAACTTTATCTTGTTCTCTATATATGAAACAAGGTAAAGCATTGAAACAAAAGAATGTATGTCTAGGGGTTTTAAACAACAAATTAATTATACACAAAAATTGCAGAATTCCTTCATTCTTAAATTAATATTTTTAGGGCGAACAATATATTTCTAGATATACATATTTTTATCTATGCGATATTTTTTTAACATTTTGCACAGCCCTAATATTACTATCGATAAAAAGAGGCGACATGTTATTTTTAGTGATACCATATAGAGGCTTGCCCAAAAAAACCAAGGCTTGACTGTCCGTCAAAATAGCGTCGATGAGTTATCATCAAAGTGGATCGGTGGGAACAGGAGCTTGGAAACGGGAGTTTCTTATTATTAATTTAATTATTAATGTTATTTAGGGTGGCTTATAACCCTAACATTATATTTAAATAAATCTCATGTTTTATTTAATAGAGCTAATCTATTCAGATTATGTTATTATGTTTTTATATGAATATGTTTAAAAATAATATTTTTAAAAAGTTTGACTTATACCTCTTTGAAATCTAAGGCTCATAATATAACTGGTATCCATTTTTCTTAATTCTTAATAATTAATTCCAAGGACAAATGGGATACATAAAACCTTAATATAAGTAAATGTTTATTAACCTGTTTGTACATACTTATTGAGAATTAAACTTACTTATATCACACTAGTTATTTACAGGGATTGAAAATAAGCGTTATAAGTAAAATAAAGATTAATCCCAAAACTTCGAAGTGGACGGTGAATAAATATATATTTAGATGGAAAAACAAGGTGAAAAATAATTTTAATATATTTATTTATGCCACAATAGTTAATTTAAAAATTTAAAATAATAGATATTTCTGAAATATAAATTGAGAATAAAATTAAGCTGTAATGACGATGTGGCATAATTAATAACATATTTTAGTACCTTGACATGCCATGATTATTCAATAAAAATAAAATAATTTGTTTATAAAAACTTAAAAATAATAATTATTCTACAGCTTTAAGTAATAAGAATTTATTCGATTTTTATTCATATATGTATTTACACCTATGTATTATTATTTTTGCAAAAATTGTATAAGTTACGATTCCTAGTTATTTTCACTGCAACTTAAAAACTTTTTACTGCTAAATTAATACCGCCAAACCAAAAAAAATACATTATTAAATAATTTTTTATCGCCTATACTTATTATTTTGTTTGATTTAGTTATTGATTAACGTAATGTGTAGATTAAACCTTTGTTCCATTTCCCACCGATTCATAAATACGCTAAATTACTTCCCTGCGAAACTTCGGAGTAAACGATAACTTTCAGGGATGCGAAAAACGAACATTCAAGCACAATCGCCCGGTTCTTTTCTTCTCATTATCTTAGCGTTTGCTCGACGTCTTCGAAAATTCTTGTTAAAGTTTTAGAAGTGAGTTTTTATTAGGAACAAAAGCTATTTCATAATAAAAACGAGGTGAGTAGAATAGTTAATAGATCGTACAAAGTTTTTGTGAAATAATACATGCGCCACAACACGTGTAAAAGGGAAGGGAAAATGCAAAAATTTTGCAGAGCATTTTTGAAACTTTTCCTAGTAATCTGTTCGGAAAGATATTGTGCTTTAAAAAAGTTGTGTTTAATAATATAAAAAATCCTTTGCATAGTTCTTTATATGAATATAAAATTCCTCGGCTGGGAATAAAAAAGGAATAAGTTTGTAATTATTTTGATGTTTTCGCATTGCGGATGAGCATTTGCAAAAAGACTGTGGGTTCTGTTTAAAAGTCTACAAGCTTTAAAAAACACATTTAAAATTGTGTATAAAATTTCGCAATTCCAAAGAACTTCTTTCGGTTTTTTCTTTGTGTTAAATTCGCTTGACGTCCATTTTGTCATTGCTCTTTAGCAATCACCGTTATGTTTTAGGGTTGTCGAAGCGCTAAAAGACGCTGGAGATCAAATTTGTTCCTTGTTGGTACTATTTTTCAGAGTTGTTGGCAATCCTGTGCTCGATTTTTTAGTTAACTTTCATTTGCTTTGCATTTTCGTTCATTCTACTAGATTTTTCGAGTGAGAAAGACGTTGCGAAAGGAAGGCACGACGCGCTTGTGAACATTTTTTCGTGAATTTTGAAGTCGGTGAGTAAAAAGCTAAGTAATATTTAGCGCAATCTAAAGTTATTGCAGAAAGTAAATCTAGCGCCATCGCGAATTCCTATTTCCGTCCTCTTTTAAGCCTCTAAATATTTTCATAAAAGTGTTGTTCATAAAAATGTATGCAAAGTCATATTCGGTTTCCAAGTGCAGTTCTCGTTTTCCTTGTTTGCATTCACAATTTTGCGTAGTACATCGCAATCATCATATCCGCGTGTGTGCTCTCTTCTAGTATTCTGTCATATATTAAGAAACAATTCATTCAAGTTTAATTTCAGTTAAAGTGAGATTCGGTGTTTTGCCCAAGTTTTTTTTTTTGCCCGATTCCTTTCTCCCGTTACTTCGTGAACTCTTCGGCGTCGGCGTCAGCGGCTGCTTGTTGTTTGTGTAAACCTTCTTGCATCTTCTTGCGTGTATGGACGAGTCGCAAAGTTTCCTTTTGCTCTCTTTTCTAGAATTCTCTCCCATTCAATTAAATTAAATTTTTTTTTTTCTTTATTGTTATCAAATAAATTTTCTTGTTTTCTTTTTAAACGAGCTTCTCAACATTTTGTTGCAGTTGAATGGTTGTTTTCTTTGGGTCAAAATACAGTATTTCAAAAATTTCGTTTTTGTTCTAAATGAGTTTCCCTATATTTTGTTTTTTTTTTTTTTTTTCTGTTTTTCTTTTTTGTATGACATAAAATTGTTGCCCTTTCCGTGTGGTAGTCATTGATTTTATGTACGTACGAATATATATATTTATATATCTCATATAATTTATACAGTTTCTAATTATAGAAGCAAACAATTTTACAGGGATATCTCGTATTACCGTATTAAGTTTTGGGTTTCTCTTCCAACATGAAATTTTGAAAGCAGTCTTCCACCTAATTATGTGGAGGCCTTGTAATTCTACTTATTGAAGGTTTATATATTTGATCCAATAGTACGTCAATTTATTTGTTTTAATAATGCTTAAAGTTATGTTTTGTTTTTCATATTTCAGTGTGTTCAGTTAGGTTTTTCGTATAATAAAAAGTAGTATATTTGATGCATAGTTTGCTTTATAATTATTAAATTTAATTTTTTAAAATAGAATTTGCATCAAGAAACACAATTACAGAGGTTTTAACACTTAATAATCTTCAGATATTTTTTTGTTTTTGATTTCCAACTACTGAGTTAAATAATTATTCATTTTGTTTTGTTTTATTTTAATGTTATTATTTAACAGAGTTTAAATAATAAAAGGCGTATATTTCTCGATGAAAATGTATGTAATTTGTAACAGAACAAAAAAAGATGTATGAGTATGCAAATGCTTTTACTGTTCTCTTGGTGAAAACTATATTCTCTTTTTAGTGGTGCTTTTTTCTTTCTTGAAGAAACAATCTAGCTGTGATGTTCTTTCAAATATTTATTTGCTTTAGGATTATTTTATTCTCCCTAATCACTGGATAGCAACTGTTTAGTTTAGTGGGTATGATGATTAATAATGGGTAACAACAAAAAAGGGGGGGGAAAATCAACGACATTACATCAACATTTTGTTTTGATGTAAAAAAAACAAAAGTCTCGTTCTACTTTTGTGAAAATCTTAAGCTTATGGTTCCATTGCAAACAGTGATTAAAATTCACAATCAGAAAGGAAGTATATTGTGAGGTGTCTGCTTGCCTGACTCTCTGACTAGTTTATACGAGGTGGTCATCTGCATGATCGTGATTTCATGGATAAAATCTGATTAGTTGGCCACGCATAAACTATATAAGATTGCTTTCATGTTCTCTTCATATATTTAAGTATATATGTATAATTTATTTCTCATTTTTCCTTAGCTTTGTTTTTGTTGCTTTTGGCTTATATGGCGGCTACAATTGATTTTGTTTCATGTTTGTTTGCTTTTCTTGAAGGGTTTGTTGTCTGTTATATGTTTGTAATTTATAAGATTTCATTTTGGTAACCTGCTCCCATGCCACAACAGCTCCTCCAAAGTTTCCCCGCATCAGTGTGGTTGCAGAGATTAAGGTTTTTAAGCCAGTGTGGGGAACTGACGCTCGTCGTTCACCTTGGGTGCAGTATTCTGTTGCCGTTCGAACCGCTTGTTTGGCCCTGGTCCGCTGTTGTTTTGGTTGTTGTTGCCCGGACCACGACGATCGGTGGGCGGCCGATTATTGGAAGCTGACTGAGCGTTGCCAGCGCCCTCATTATTGTTATGATGCTGCTGCTGTTGATGCCCCGATGAGGGACCATCCCGCTGGCGGTCAACGCCGCGGTTACCGCCTCCCTCGGTGCGTGGTCCGCCGCCACCAATGCCGCCGGGACGTGGGCCTCCACGTCCACCGCCGCGTCCTCCAAATCCACCGGGTCCGCCGCGACGGCCGTCGTTAAAGTTAAACTGAATATCAAGGACGCGTTGCTGGCGGCCCACACGCTGGGGATACATGGCAGGATCATATTCAAGCTCCTCTTCGCTTTCGTTCTCTTTCTTTTTGTTGCTGGTCAAGACCACCATTTTCTTCCACTGCGACGTGTCCTCACCTGTGGGCAATAAAATTTGTATTTTATTAATTATCTATCTCATTGCTTTTGCATGTTTGATATTCAAAACAATATGATGCACACACACCTTCTCCGGCCTTGCGTATGTTGAAGGTTGGCTTGATGCGCTGCCCCTGTTGTGCTTTCCACTCGTCCAAGGTCAGCTCTTTGGTCTCTTCCTCGGCGGCCGTCTGCTGCTCGTTCTGTTGCTCATTGCCCGATTCGTCGGCCTTGGCGGCACCACCCTCTGCATTGTTCGCACTGGTCTCGGTTTCGTTCTTGTTCACATCATCGATGGCCTCCTTGACAGAGCCCCAGTTGTGGGCACCAGCTCCATCACGCTTATCAATAGCCTTTACACCTGTAAATTATAGTGAAATGAATTAATTAAATATTTTATTACAGGTTGCACATATCGCGAAGGACGTACTCCTCAAACTTAAAACTGAACGCTAAGAAAACTCATTAAAGGTGAGTAAATTGAATAAATTAATTTTTAACTAACTTTTATATTTGAATTTAGTTTAAAACTAAATGTTATTTTTTTAATTGTTGAATTAACTTAAATACCAACTCTTAACAGAAATGCTCTGCCAAGATATTTTCAAAAATCAGAACGTGTAGAAATATGTTGTTAATCGGAAAAGGGAAGAATACAGCGTCGAGAGAGGCGCAAACTATTTTTAACACGCTTTCTTTCTATTTCTTGTGTTCGGCTGTGTGCTTATTGTATATTATGCTATGGCTAGATAATTTTGGATATTCCAAAAATGAAATGGTCATAGCAGCGGGAGGTAGAGACGGGAATATAGCTTTGGTACTTGCCAGCTATAGTTTCTGATCAACTACATTTATTAAAAATTATCCATAAGCATCTTCAAGATAGATCACATGATAAAAGATTTATAATTTAATCTGAAGTTTGTAATTTTAGACAACAAGAACACGTGGTGGTATTTATAATTAACGAAACAGGCCAATTTATGAATGAAAAAGATAAAAATTTGAACAAGAGCTTTAACTAGGAAAAACTAAAAATAATTTAAGGCATTAGAACTCCTTTTCTTCTCTCCTTGCTATTTACATGAACATTTAGGTTGTCATGGCAAAGGTTTCGGTGTTATTTGTTATAATTTTTATAGCTTTTGTTTTGAATAAGTCAACTCACCTGTTCTGTCTGATCCCGATTGACGATCGAATTCGCGCTTCCTGTTCTGGCCATCGTTGTTGCGATTTTGACGCTGCGGCCGATCACCGCCAGCTCCTCCCTGGCCGCCTCCACCAGGTCCACGGTATGGACGGGACTGCTGGCCATCGGATGCTCCACCGGCATTATCACGGACATTACGGCGATTGTTGCGCTGCTCCCGGGATTCCACATTGCCGTTGCCATTCTGTTGACGGAAGTTGTTACTGCGCTGTTCTCTTTGTCCCTGTCCTTGTCCTTGTCCTTGACCGCTACCAAATTCACGTGTACGGTTGGCGCCACCACCTGGCCGAGGAGCTCCTCCCTGTTTGTTGTTGCTATTAAACTGTTTGTCGGCGGACGGGGCAAGCTTCTTGCCATCGGTCTTGCTGAGAGCGTTGTTGGGCTTGTTCTCCTTCTCGGCCTGGTTCGGTTTCTTGGCATTGGGGGGTCCTCCGGCGGCGTTGTTATTCGCCTTTGTCACCTTGGCGGCCGCTTTGGTGGCCGCGGTAGCGCCACCTGCAGCTGACGGCTGCTTCTTCTTGCCAGCTGCTGCTGTTGCGGCGGCGGAGGCAGCGGCCGTCGGCGCCACAAGATTATCTAATGGATCGCTGACATCGTCGTCCATGAACAAGAGCTCATAACGATTTTTCCCGGCGCTGTCCATGATTTGGTTGGAGTGAGGTGGTGCTTTGCTTGCTGCGGCTGCGGCTGCTATTGCTATTCCTGCAAGAGAATTTTACACAAAATCTCAATTGATTGATTTTCCCTTTTCGCTTGGGGCCCCCCCAGGTTGGTCGTTGCTGTGGTTTCCACTTTTTTCTCCCACAAAAGGTGGTTAAAATTCGTTTAATTTATGCACGATGGGCGGATAAAACTACGGCGAGCCTTCCAATTTGATTTTTCGAAATTTAACTGCACCTTTTATGCGAAATTTTCTTACTTTTCCGTAGGTTGTTGGTGGCTGTGCTGCTCTCTAACCTTAATTTTCAGCGTTTCTTCTTCGCCTTGCTGCTAGTATTACCTACGCACACTGGCGCGCGCGATTTCACACGCACATGGGTTCCTCACACACACAGGGAAAGAAGCCAGCAGCGCGGCCCACATGTGTTCTTGGTATACATAGAAAAACAGAAACTCACGTTTTCTGCCTGCCCGCTGTGAATGGCAAATTTGTGTTGGGTAATGCGGCAGTGGGGCGGCTGTGTTTACCAAACACAATCTGTGAGTTTGGGGTCGCTTTTCTTAGTTTTTGAAAGAATAATGTGTTGAAAATTCACTATTATCTGAAGCACACGATTAAAAAGAATCTACAACAATTAGCAAAAACTAAACTGTCAGCCCCTTGTACAAAAAACATAAGAAAATCGATCGTAGAATTTGTCCACTGTGTTTATCGAGCACTTGGTATTATTTAAACTTGGCGCCACGCCGTAACATTTAAATGTCGCGCCTTTCAAATTTTTAATTTCAGAAATATCTGTTACCTAGAATTTTAAAAAATAATTTATAAAGTAACTTTCTTTTAAATATATGATTTTTCTTGTCTTTACAGAAAAGAAAAAAAACTTAAAATGTCAGACTGGGAGGAAGAGGTTTGCAAATCTTTATATAAACAAATGAATCATAATTAAAATAACATATTACAGACTGGTCGCGGTTTTGGCAATCAGCAGGCCAATACTCAGAAGGAAGTCTCCGGATGGAGTGACGATGAGGGTACTGCCCAGAGCGGTGGAGGTGGACGCGGAGGTGGAGATAGGGGCGGCTATCGCAGGGACAACAACTCTGGTGGGTACCGAGGACGCCAGGACAACGATAATGGTAAGTAGTGCGATAGATTTATGCCCATTAACTTTTTCAAACTTGGAATTTCAATTCCTTGTATAACATAATTTAAATGTTAATGGTAAACTATCTATCATCTTTCCACATCTATAAGTATATTTTTACATGTTCCTTTTTAATGTAAAAGCTAAAAAATGAAAATTTACATTAGTTAATAGCAGTACTTTTGATGTTTTCCGTTTCTCCGTTGTGTTCTTCCATTTTACGATTGCTCGCGCAGCCCTCGATTTAGCCACAAAGCTACCACCAATCCCATCTAGCTGTAATTTGGATATTGTGGAAGTTTTCATAGATAGTTTTGATATTTGCTATCACAACGCAACTATGGACGAGGTGCGAGAGCTAAGAGATTACTTGCTAACAGCCTTCACGAATTTGGTGAGCAACGAATGGGTTCGCCTCGAGAGTCTAGATCGAGAAGAACGTGTTCGAAAAAAACAAAAAGTACGCGAGGCTGCTGCCATGATGGAGACTGTCATTATGGAAGTAAATAATGTTTTGGGCGAGACCGAAATGGAGACATCACAAGCGCAGAATGCAATTGTTCAGCAGCAACAAATGGGCATTAATTGGGAAGCAAATGCCGCAAATTTGGATACTCGGGAAATAGTTCTTCCGCAATTAACTTTGCAGACTTCCCGGCCGAGAAGAACAAGCACTGCATCTGTAAGGACTGAAGAACGGCCACCCTATAAAGTGAAACCGATCATAGATACTTACGAAAAGGCCCGTCGGCAACAAAGTGGAGTTGCTGCAAGTAGAGCGCAAGAGAACTCTACTGAGGTGGCTGTGCTCGAGTCACCTGAAACCTATGGCACTTCCAAATTTTCACAACATATAAGCGCAAGTCAACTAATGACTCACACAGTTAGGGGGGTAACGTTTCCAAACGTGCCTGAACTAACAAGCAGAATGTCCTGGCCAATTGCACCAAGTTCAGTTTGGATGAGAATAACAAAATACTACCAAATCCGTTCATTTGAAGTAGTAGAATCCATGGATCCGAACAGTGAGCCGCCAGAAAATGGCATGAGAGCACCGGACAACACTAGTAGCATACAGACAAGCAGACAAATTGATGTGGTTAGGCATCACCCCTCTCAGAACCAGAGCCTCGAGACACCGGATGGAGCCTATTTTAGTCGTTACGATGCGACCCGTGATGAGGAGGCCGCTTGGTCAGCAAGTGGCGGTATCACTGACATTGTACCGGCTGACCAAGCATCATCGAGTACGCCGATAAAACGACACAGCGAGCTTGGGTACTAATAACTAAACTTAACTAAACTTGACTCTTCACTTCTATCTATCCTTATTCTTCTTACCATCTATGTAGTCTCGGAAACTCCTTCCTTCCTTGGTTTGTGTTTTATAGCCAAAAGTTCAAACATTCAAACAAAGCTACGAAACACACAACAAATTTCTTCAAACAAATTCAAATCATAATTTGGCTGTTGTACAAAATATATTGATGTTTCTGACAGCTTGGAAATGTGTCTACAGATCTACCAAATCAGGTTACGGTTAAATATAGATGTACATGTGTAAAGATCTACTATACGGAGAATAGTCCGATATTATAAATCGACAAAAATGATCGAAAATTTCATAGATATATCCAATTTTAAAATATCGAATCACGTCGAAGATGTATTTTAATATATTGGTGGTTTAAACATCGATAAATTTCCCATTTAACATTTAAATATCTTGTAGTGGTATTTTATATATTTGTCTTCATTTTATTGGATTAATATATTCAACAGATTATCGATTTATTGGTTTTCGCACTTATCGATAGAGTATTATTATATCTGTCATTTCCGTAAGAATTCTTTGCCTTTGCACAATTATGTCGTTCTTCTTTGATTTTGCCTTAAACGTATTCTTTTTTCTATTACAATTAATTGATTGATTTTTAAACTATTGCTTACCATATCGCTGATCTTTCCTGTTGACACCCTCTACTTCTGCTTCGTCTTTTTCGCTTCTGTTTCTCATAAAAAGATAATGCTCTTGTACTCTTCACTTATACACCTACTACCGTCCGATCCACAGCTTTTCGTTAAACTACAATATGAACTTGTCAATGATTATTGGCGGAGGATCGACTTCTACACCGGCAGAAGCCGCCCCACCTATGCCGGCGGAGTTTCAATTGGGGTCGATGGCCGATAGCGGCACTTTGATGATGTCGGTTGATAATGAGGAAACGGCTTTAGTCGGGCCTGTTGCATCATCAATGGAGGTGCGTTCCGCCCGCCTTGGAGGAGGTACACCAGCCTCTACGCCATTGTATAGTTTCCGACCCCTGCTTCCGGTCATCAACGAGGAGCAACATAATTTGAATCAAACACTACAGCACCAACAGTTTATTACTGCGAAACCTAAAATGCTAGAAATGACAATTGGCTCGCTCACAAATGAAGCAACATTGGCAGGACCATCTGCTATTCAACAACGTGACTGGGGCTTTATATTTCGCCCTCGCGATCAAATAATAAACTATTCGGAAGGTACTTCCAGAAGACCGGTACATAGGATACGTCGGCGGCGTCGGCTACGCATTCCAGCTGCAGATGCCAATAGCGTAGAAACGCCACAAGAACGAATTCAAAGAGAGGAGCAAGTGTTGGCTACCACAAGCAGTCGACAGATAACCAAAAGTTTTATGAATAATTTACTACAAAAAGTTTCAGAGGCAGTTAGTCCTCCACAACATAAAACAAAAGCTCTAGAACCAGCGGCTTCAGCTTCAAAAACTCCAACCAAAAGGGACAAAAATCCGGGAGTGGATCAGACGGAACAAAAAGAAATAGAAAAACCAAAAAGATTATGTTCCAAAACTCAAACAAATGAGTCAACCTTTCAAAAGCCACGATGTCCCTTGGAAGACACTACTATGGATATTGCTACTAAGGAAGTAGTGCAACATTCCCCAACTGCTGCTGCTTCTGAAAACGTACTGGAGAAACTTACCGATCCTCCTGGATTTAATGACTCAATATCCTTTGAAAAAATACCGGATTTGGATACTACTATCGGTATATTGAATATATCAGAAATAAATATGGAACAACCAAATTTTCCATCGATAGAGCACATGGAAATTGAAAACTCGACTGCCAATCTAAGTGAACATGCCATCGTGACCGATGTGCAGATATTATCAGGACCAACGACGGTAGCAACATCATCGTTCCATATTCCCGACAATACATCCAATCTAACTCGAGAAGTAGTAGAGCTGTCAGAATTAAGATCAGGAATTGTGGTTGCTTCCGAACTTGTAGAGTTGGAGAAGGGCCGAGCGGATAGTTCACTATATCATCGGGAATCTGTAGAGGATTTGGGTTACATTGTGCAGCATATGGATATGCTGCGTCTAAATATCGATCGCCAAACGGAGATATCTTTGACTAGAGAGTGCCCTAAATCCCCGTCTAATTTGTCAATGCCTGCAGTCAGAGTCTACGATCCCAAAATCGTTGTTAACATGTCCGATGCAAAGCTTCGTCTTGTCCACAAGTTGCTGGGTGCTCTCGTTATGCAGCCTCAGGTGGATATGCGGAGTGCTGACTTTATTCAGAATCGCATGGATGCAGCGGTGACCTTTCGGCTATTGCTTGATCTAAAGGCGGCCAACATTATAAATCTTAGCAAAGATGGTTTAATCTTTTCCTTGAAGTAGGTCATTTACGGCAAGGTTATGTTATTAAAGAACATTCGTATTGGTTTCATATAAGTAAGAAGGAAGACTTGGTTGTTTTTAATTTCCATGAAATAATACGATTTTACTTTACTTTGCTGAGTTTTAGTATCGCAAAGAAAAATATAATTTGTAATTTTCTTGTAATAACTTTTAATTATTAGGTTGCGTATAGTAGCGCATAAAGTGCAAGGATTTGAAGTTTATTTTATTGACGAACATACGATTTATGTTCTATATTTACATAATATAAAAGACAGAACGTTGTTCATTTTAATTTCGTATCATTTTCAGTTATGTTTAATTATTTATTATTTGGCAATGTACATTTAAGTTGATGTTGTTATATTCGTATGTATTTTGTGTGTACTTCTATAATTATATTTGAATAATAAACGATGAATATTTTAATATTACAACACTTGTAATCCTTAGGTGACGATCGGCGTGGAAGCCGCGGAGGCGGTGGCTTTAATCGCGAGCGTGGTGAACGTGGGGACCGTGGTGAACGCGGCGAACGTGGTGAGCGTGGTGAACGCGGCGAACGTGGTGAGCGTTTTGAACGCGGTGAACGTGGGGAGCGTGGTGAGCGTTTTGAACGCGGTGAACGTGGCGATGGAAATGGTTTTGAGCGACGTCGTCGAGGCGATAATGACGATATGAACAACAACAATAAGGACTTTGGCGAGGACGGCGAGAAAAAACGGGAGTTCTACATACCCCCCGAACCCACCAACGATGAGGGTGAAATTTTCAGCAGTGGCATCACTTCTGGTATTAATTTCTCCAAATATGACAACATTCCTGTCAAGGTAATTGTTAGCTTCCCAATGCCGAATGAATTAATTATAAAGTAAACAATTTTTTGTTACCTTTAGGTAAGCGGCGATAATGTGCCAAAGCCAATTGCCAAATTTGATGATGCCGGTCTCCGTGGTATCGTTTACGAAAACGTCGTCAAGTCTGGTTACAAGGTGCCCACACCTATCCAAAAGGTGTCTATACCAGTGATTGCCGATGGGCGTGACTTAATGGCGTGCGCCCAGACAGGCTCTGGAAAAACAGCGGCCTTCCTCTTGCCGATATTAAGCAAGCTTTTGGAGGAAGCCCAGGACCTGGAGATTGGCAAGCCACAGGCTGTCGTTGTTTCACCCACTAGGGAGTTGGCCATTCAGATATTCAACGAGGCGAGGAAATTTGGCTTCGAGTCGTATCTGAAGATTAGTATCGTGTACGGCGGTACATCGTTCAAGCACCAGAATGAGTGCATCACCAAGGGATGTCATGTGCTGATTGCCACGCCGGGAAGGCTGCTGGATTTTGTCGAGCGGACTTTTATAACTTTTGAGGATACTCGCTTTATTGTACTTGACGAGGCCGATCGCATGCTGGACATGGGCTTCTCGGAAAGTATGCGGAAGATTATGACGCATACTACCATGCGACCAGAGCACCAAACGCTCATGTTCTCCGCTACATTCCCGGAGGAAATTCAGCGTCTGGCTGGGGAGTTTCTGAAGAACTATGTATTTGTAACTATTGGCGTGGTTGGAGGGGCATGCTCTGATGTTAAGCAAGAAGTTTTTGAAGTTAACAAATTTGGTAAACGGACCAAACTTATGGTAAGTCTGTTGTTCGTTAATATTAAACAAGTTTTTATCTCAGGAAAATAATAAATCTTGTTGTTTCTAAAGGAAATCTTGCGGGAGAATGCCGATGGTACAATCGTCTTTGTAGAGACAAAGCGTGGTGCTGACTTTTTGGCCTCCTTTCTGTCTGAAACCGAGTTCCCCACCACCTCTATCCATGGTGATCGGCTCCAGAGTCAACGCGAGCAGGCCTTGCGTGATTTCAGGACTGGCAAGATGAAGGTATTGATTGCCACTTCAGTGGCGGCCCGTGGTCTAGGTAAGTTTTTCCAAGTTAATATTTTCCATTTGTCATTTATGTTTAACATACTTTAACTACTTTCAAGATATCAAGAATGTGAAGCATGTGATTAACTTTGACTTGCCGAACAATATTGCCGACTATGTCCATCGTATCGGACGTACAGGTCGTGTGGGCAACAATGGACGTGCCACTTCGTTCTTTGACATAGATCATGACCAAGCACTTGCTGCTGATTTGGTTAATACACTGGCGGGATCTGATCAAAAGGTGCCGGATTTCCTTCGTGCGATTAGTAATGGCTGCGGCGGTGGTTACTCGAACTCTGCGTTCGGTGGACTGGATGTTCGCGGTGGCGTAAGTATAGCTCGATATCATACAACTTATAAGAACAAGATGAGTAACGCCGATTCCGCGTATCTTGTTGTTATAAGATACCTACCTCTATATACGAAACTTGAACTAAAATATGGTCTTTATAAAGGGAACTGCCATCACTTGTGCTACCAGCAACGAAGAAGACCAGGACTGGGACTAAAGGAGGAAGAGATGGGCGAATAGACGAAAATTAAAAAAAAAAAAAACATTGACAATTTGAATCAAATGGGTGGTATATATAATTGATATGTATTAAAGCCATTCCTTTAAGTTTTTAATTTCCAATATGGAGATTATAATTTAATTACCTAAATATAGAACACGAAACCTAAATATCTTGTATTATTGAGTCAGTTGATAGTATAGTATAGTATAGTTTTTATAAATACTGATATGCCTTTTAAATCTTGGATGTATACCCTGTATAATCATATGTTTGCACTTATGTACTCATCCTTGTTGGCTTTGTTTCGTTGTTTGTTGTTTGTCTTTCCTTCTGTCTGCCTTCCTGCTGCTCTCATGCTCTCTTCCCGCTCTTCAAGCCGGCTTTTCTCAATGCTTGCCTCGCCCTGTGGCCGCCCCCAAAAGCAAACCAACACCGACCAACAACAAATGTTGCTTTTGCGTTTGCTTTCCTTTGCAGAACAAAATCAATAACGCGAGAAACTCACCACGGGTCTAGCTCTTTGCTCTTTGCGTGTTTTCAGTCTCAGTCTCTGATGGCATTTCGTAGTGAGCATTTCATTCGACGCGTTTCCATATACATATACATAGGGGAAAAAACCTAAAATTGTTTAATAGCTATTTTTTCAAACTAAAATAAATTGGGGCAATATTTATTCCGGGCGCCTGAAAGTATGAAAACGTTATATTTACCATTTCTTTGGGAAAATGTGTTGGTCGAACGCGCGTGTGTGTGTGTTGTGACTGTGTTTAACCTAGATGCAAGAAGCGATTATGAAATAAGAAAACCATTTGGAATTTTATTTATGCTTTCACAAGCGGGACGAAGAGAGCTTTTAAGGAGAGCTATGTATTTTGTTTTTCCTTTGTCTGTGCTGGGAATACAGTAGTAGTTATATGGGATCGGCCGGGGGTGGTTTCCACCCGTTCCCAGCAACTACAATAGCATCTTTTTAGCCGGCAATCTCCTGACTTTTACATATATATGTATATATTTACCCTTACCGATTGTTGAGTTTTTCTTCCCTTACCGCACGCTATTTCAGCATTTACCAAGTTATCGTTCATGTTTTTTTGTAGCCTACTTCTTTGGGTCAGTTGATATAATTAATAAAACTTGGGTTTTCCCAGTGGACCAATAAACGATGGTAACACGAATTTATCAAAAAACGCAATAGAAACAATATAAATGCTAGAAAAGGGAACCATAATCAAAGGAGATATGCTTATTTCACCTTATACGTATGTCCAGTTAACTGAAAACAACAATGGCTAAGATAATCAATATTGAAAAATATTGAAAGCATCAAACCAAAACTGTAAATCGTAATAACATAAATAATTAATAAAAGAAACATCGAAATTTATATATTATAATTATACTAATCAACATCAGAAACTGATAAAGAATGAGTCAAAGTTTTGAAAGTTTAATGCACGGCGAAGAAGAAGGTGGCAGAGATGGAGGTCCTTACTCGGAACGCCAATCCTCGGACGATATACAGGAGTCAACTGCAACAATAACAACGACAACAGAGACTACAAATGCCGGCGACGGTGGCGGTGGTGGCGGCGACGAGGATGATTTCACCGATGACAACAATTTTGAATCGAATTTGCGACGTCGCAAAGGCAAAATAATATCCTGTGCCAAGGAAACCATCGAGAACGGTGAGTGCAAAAGCAAATACCTACCTAACCTTATAAGGTATTTTAATATGTACTAGAGATTTGTTTTTCAAAATTTGGTCAGCTGTCTGTATATTTCGTAATGGTAAAAAAGTGTCTTTGAATATGTAGAAAAATCTAAATTAGTAGTAATTATCATGTTTATACTGTCAAGAAATCTATTAAAATAATCTGATGAGTGAATTATTTAAACAAGAAAGCTGGAAATGTTTCTAAAGAATTAATTATTAAATAAAGCTAACTTTTGTACATTAATTTGCGTTGATTAAAAAATATTTTTTGTTTGAAAACCCATCATAGCTACTGCCCACGTAAAACACAGAATGTCATCTGATCCGGTTCGATTTGGTCTGATAAAAAATAGCTACATAAGAATAATTTAAAATTTTTAAATATAATTTATCAGCAATAACTCAAGAGTAATCAAGAGTTAGTTGTGCCGTTTATTTATTTGTTTATTTGCCATTGGATTTATCCATTAATCCCTAATCCCTAATCGCTTACTTAATTATATCTAAACTAACTCAAAGAGGCTAATGTATTTTATGCATCATCTTAAGATTGTTAAGAATCTATTAAATAATATTTGTATTATGATAGTCAACTAAAATGGTTGGTTAGGGAAGCTGGCAGAGATTAGGGTTCCAAACTTTAAGATTAATTTTCAATTTGGCACGGTGCCAAGTTTATAGACGTGTTTTTGGATCTGCTTCCAATTTGAGATGGCTCTGGATATTGGTATCTGTCATTATACCCTTGCAGGGTATTATAATTTCAGTCAGAAGTTTGCAACGCAGTGAAGGAGGCACCTCCGACCATATAAAGTATATATATTCTTAATCAGGATCAACAGCCGAGTCGATCTAGCCATGTCCGTCTGTCCGTCTGTCCTTCTGTCCGTCTGTCCGTCTGTCAGTTTCTACGCAAACTAGTCTCTCAGTTTTGAAGCTATCTGAATGAAACTTTGCAGTTAGCCTTCTATATACTCTCACTCGTATATATGTCGGAATGGGCCGGATCGGACGACTATATCATATAGCTGCCATAGGAATGATCGGATAATTTTTACAAAAAAAATTATAACAATTTCAGTTTTCAACAGAATTTGATCAAATTTAAGATATAGCCATTTTACTATACTCTACAATTTTGTATAAAATTTAATGAATATCGGACAACTATATCATATAGCTCCCATAGGAACAATCGAGAAATTAAGACAATTAAAAATTATAACATTTTCAGTTTTCAACAGATTTTCATCAAATTTGGGGTATAACCATTTTATATCAGTCTTAAATTTTGTGTAAAATTTTATGAAAATCGGACTACTATATTATATAGGTGCCATACAAACGATCGTTAGATGTGGAGAAAAATTCACATCTGTGACTGTAAAACTGCAAATATAATATGTAAAGGTGAATGAAATGAAAGCAGGTATTACTTCATTGTTTTTTAACACAAATAAATATAATTTATATTGTTGGGATTCCAAGTCATAGAAGTTCTATCTGCAAGGGTATATAAACTTCGGCGTGCCGAAGTTAGCTTCCTTTCTTGTTTTAATTTTGTTCACAACTATTATATAAAGGAAAGAAAACAATTACCAATATAGAAAAGATACAGTAAACCAATAAACTTCACTTAATACATTTATAATATTAAAACTTCTCCCTTTGCTGTTAAAAAATAAACAAATTTAGACCACCGTGTAATAGTTAATTAAATGTAATTCCATTTCGCTTAGGGTCCCAAGAGTCCCAACAATTTGTTATAAAATTCCATAGAATCTCAATTTGTTAGCTGTTTCAGAGATTGCACAACAAAATTAACAGCGTGTTGTGGCGTTTTGAAATAAACCCACGAGGGTGGCATGGCCCTTACCCGGCTCCTGTTCTCCCCTGGCTCCTAACTCGACCCTCAATCAGCCGCCCACTTGGCACGAGGGCGTTCAGGAAGTGCGCGGATTTACGTGTTGCCAAAATAGCAGACATGACTTTTAAACTTTGCTGGCAATCTAGGACAGCCCGAGTGTGTGACGTGGTGAACTTCCTCACGGGCCCCACTCGACAACTGGCCCCAATGCTCCATTAGCACCAACCCATTTGATGGGAAGTGCATTGCGTGCGCTAGACATTAGAAGAAATTTGGCGAATGGCTATGGAAGCTCATCGATTTTTACCGAGTTCGTTGTACATGGCGTCTAGTAATGGAATTGAATCATACTTTGTGTCCATCAAATCAATCGTTGGCTTTGCGTCCCCATTTCTTTGCTTAGTGGCATCGCCTGCCTGCCTGTCTGTCTGTGTTTTCACTCGCTTTTTTGTTTGCCTTTGTTAAATATTGTTCCCCAGCCATTTCTATTGCTCTATCAGAAGCGATGGCTCCTCGAATATTGGGTAATAGTGTTGAACAATATGTTTTCATTAAATATTTTATGAATTCGAAAAGAAGTTACCCACCTTTATGGACTTTAATGACTTCTGCAGAGGCTACGAGTATATTAAACAGTTGAGCAGATTGCTCCTTTGAGGATCTAGTTATATTCTTATCACCGATTCTGTGAAATGTTACTGTATATAGACACCAGCATATCTTTTGTTACTTTAAAAGTATAGCAAATATTCTATAAACACTTTATCAACCAGATTCTTTCATAATATTTTGTAAAATCCATGTGGCGGTATTCTCTAGAGCTTGGCCAAGATTGAGTACTTGCTATGCAAATGCGTGGCAAGTGTCGTGTGCACCAAGATACATCTTAGCAATAAGGCATCTACCAGGATAACTGTCTGATTCGTCCTGCCCCCAGGCATTGCCGTCAATCTTTCTCTTCTCTTCTTGTGCAGGATGTTTGGTGTGTATTTCCATCCGCTGCTTACATAGTTGCAATATGCGAATACTTTTGAAGATGTGGAAATTTGCAGGCAAGGACGCCTCTGGGGTGGTAAACGTGATTTCATCTTAAGCATTTCGGATTTTGTGAGGGTGGATTTCTAAAATGGTAAAGATACCATCAGGACATAATTTCTCCGGCACAGTGCAAGTGGTTTAATTTCCGAATCATTTGAAGACACTGTTAATAGTTTTGATTGTGTGTTAGTCTGATGAAAGTGTCTCTGAAACGTTTTAAGTTTTATAATGATACTTTGCATCTATTTAACTTAAAAGGGTATTGCAGTAATATACACTTCCAAGTCACAGTTCAAGCTATTTATTTGATAATTTTACCTACACTCGTGCTTGGATTTACTTTGTTGTCTTGACAATACTCATGTGAAATTTTAAGCCTTAAAAATAAGAAGAGGAAAAGCCTAAAATACGAAGAAGTCAAGGGAGGTGAATTGTTACCGTTTTCCATCCTGGAAGGATTTACAATTAAGTCATCGACCGACGTGGTTCCGCCAAAGTTCAGTTGAGATGCTCCCACTTTTCCGCCTTTCCCTCACTGCTAGTCAAATAAAAATAAAAAACAGAAGATTGAGTCGAGAATAAAACGAAATGAACTCTTTGTCCGTATTTATATTGTATGAACTTGGTTCTTCTAACAAGTGTATTGGCCTTAGTCCAAAGTATACACAATTATTTATGTAGGTACAGTGGACTTTAGAAACATTTGATATGTCAGTTGATTTTTAGTAAATGGTGTCCTAAAGATGTCAAGTACAAACTATAAATATACACTCAATAGATTTGTTTGTTCATAAAATTATTTGCATTAATTGAATTTAATTTTCAATGAAGTGCACTTCCAGCAGGACATTTTAAGGTAGGGCTTAGATGTCCACTATTAATACTTATAAAAGCATAAACCGTTTTAGCTTAATGCCGGAAACAACATGGCTTTAAATAAATCCACTCTTCAATTAAGACACGCGGCTTCATTCAGCTTGACGTTGTTGATTAAATTTCAGTCATCTTATTTCTTCATTGCTTTTATACAACAAATTATGTGATGCTGTGTGCCCGGTTCCTATTTCATTTTGGCGACCAGGAGATGGTTGGGAAGTCTGCCTTAAGCCGATTTCATTAATTATTCAACGCACTGTCCCCCAAGGGGGTCCTCTACTGGTGGTGCTGATTTAACTGACGAAAGCATTGGCAAAGCACTTTCTTGTCGGATTTGGCTTGGCATGGCGAAGGAGTCGTCCTTGGCAGTGTCGACTAACTAATGAATAGTAGCCTTGGTTTATGTTGATGGTCTGTACTTCATGTCCTGTATTGCTCGAAAATGGTTAAGATCGTATTAAATTAGGTTGACAAGATTTGACAACGAAGAGATTGGAGTTTGCGTACATTTAAGGTTATTAAGGAACGGTTCCTAACCACATTTTATCAAATGAATTTATCGTAGAGAAAAGCAAGAACTCACTTTGAAATATAAACTATCTAACTAAGTTGTCAGGATATAGTAAATATTATATAAAAGGAAACTTTGGTTTACTATTATTTTCAAAGAAATGATATAATTGATATGCTTCCGATTAATGTTCTTTGGAAAAACTACCACTCCTTGGGAAACCTTGTCACGTTTATTTAACTTACATTTTATTGGCCTTACTGTGACTGGCATGTTCTATTTTAGGTTCACAATAATATCTAACCAAGTTTTTCATTTACCCTGCTATGGTTTAATGCCTCAATTCCCCAGGGTGTAGGATATATTCCCTGTGTCGCAGTTTTATGAGCAATGGTTAATCCTCCAATGGAAGTATGTTTGGAATACCAAAAGTGGCAATTGTAGTTTGTGCATTGATTTGTTTATGAGTTTTATCCTTTTGGATTTTCACATAAATTTAAACAGCTAATTTGCTATATTTCTCATTTGATATATATATTTATCTCTGCATACATATGTTTCAGTGCCGCCATTAAGCTTGGAATAATTATGAGATTACGCATTACGTGATTTATTCAGCTGAGCAAATACTCCCGCATAGGTTGGTCGTGATTTAGTGGCGGCCTTGTTTCGTTTATAATTAGTTTCATAACCACCAAATGAATTATTTATTTTTACTAAGAATACAATTTTGATTGTAAACTTGGCATAATGCTTTTTTGTTGGTTTATATTTAGAAACTAATTTCCCAAGCTTAGCATTTATCCTAGTTCTTAAAATAAATCGGAGGAAATCTCACATAAATACCTTAATTTGAGCTTCTTATAAATAATGTTTAGAATGTTTGAGGAGGGCTTAAGGCGATGCTCCAAAAATAACAAATGCCATCTTCTCGGTTGATGCTTAATTAATTATGCCGACATTTTCTTACTAAGACCAAAGGAAATACATAAGTCATTAGTGAGGAAGGTCAATTTTAGATGAGGAAAGGATTTTGTGAATAAAGGGATTTAAAACCTTTCAATAGGTACTTAGGTGGCAAGGTTAATAAGAAATCTCTTTTTAAAAGTCTGTTTTAAAAAGCTTAATAAAAAACGAAATGAACATTCTGTAAAGTAGAGTTCAAGGATATGCTGAAACCTTGCCAATGTTTGCCATCTTACAGACACATACTTAGAAGTAACTGCAACTGTTGAAATATTCATTAGAAATACAAAAGAAATCGATTTTTTAAAAAGCCCGCCTGTCTGCATGCCATTAATGAAGATAATATAGAAGGTTGTTTGCCCGTAATGAGCTTGGTGAACTTGAAAAGAAACCACCATTATTCTTTACTTATCAAAAGCAAACATTGACAAACAACCTGAGAAACTTTTCAAGTCATCTGAAGGGGCGTGTGTATGTTATTTGAGAAATGTAAAGAAAACACTGTTGAAAGTCAGAAGGTCACGGTCTTTATGGGGTTAAGAGGCTCCTTCCCTGCTATCTGCCTTCGTGCAGCTCTAAAAATTTACGTTTTATTTCCTGCAGTTTCTTTCTGCTTTCAAATTTTTACTTATAAATGGAATGCCAAGATAGAGGCATAATTAATAATAACCAAGTCATTTGGGCAACTGGGTGTCTGTGTTGATTACAACCATTTAAGCACCTCTGTCAATTAGTTTGTAAACAATTACAGAAGTTATTAAATTCTACTACTTTTAAATAAAGAAAACATTTGCCGAGTAGATTTTTAATGTTTTACTGCTAGTATAAGTCCTGTCCTACCATCCCATTACACTTCCATGTATATAGCAACCTAAAATATCCTTAGAAGGACTTCAACATCACTCGGTGTGTTTTAATTTGCATCTATTTTCTGTTGTACATTTTCCAGCTTCCCGCCAATTACGCCGCAAAGTGCCCTATGCCGGTCATTTGATGACACCCCGACGCCTCTGGCTCAATAAAATTCCCACACAATGTGACGTGGTTATTGAATTTCCCGAGGATGCACCCAACGAGGCACTCCGCTGGCTCCTGGCACGCATACGCTCCCAACCACCGGCTGGTCTGGGTCTTTTGGTCCAGGTCAAGGCGCACGAGAGCACGCGGAGAAATGCTTTCTATGTCAGTGCTCCCGTGAATGTGTAAGTTTATTCCCTCCTTCAGGGGGTTTTCCTTAATTAAAAAGTTTCTCTTTTTTTATATGTGTGTTAATTTTAAATAGAGAGTGTATATACTTACGAGTGGTAGTACCGCGGGCTTTGTTGCTTTTTCTGTTCAGTGGCCTAATTAGAATTTTTATAAGCTTATTGTCTCGCAATGGAAAATGTATTTTTGCTAGACGGAACTATGAAAATGTAAATTTGATTTAAAAAAATTACAATCCTTTTAATATAATAAAAGAGGCTTCAAGGCAATTAAATGACCATTTTATTCAGATATAACAAATCTTTATATGAAAAATGTTAATCAAGTTTTTGAGTATAATATCTTTTAAAAGATCCTGGTTTTAACCCATTTTTAAATCACTTTCCATACTTTAAGATATACACAAAATGCACTCCTTTTTTTGAAACTTGGGGATTGTATACACCTATTGAGCTTCTTTCTTTGTTTTATTTAAAGTATTAGTATGATCAAAGCTTTGCAAAATCGTAAGTTTATTTTTATTTGTAGATAATATATAATGTGTCGTAGCAATTACTTCTAGCAATTACTTCTAGCAATTACTTATATTTAGACTAGTATAACCCCTTTATAAAGTTAATTTAATGGAAAGATCATTTGAAATAGCCACTTGATCTAATCCAGACTTTTCTGTTCGTACAAGTAAGACTTCAATGCGTTTCCTACTGTCTGTATACATTTTCTGTTCGGATTGATCTGCATTTCTTGTTTATTGTTATATCTATAGATCATTTAATAATTGTAAATATTTATATTTTCACACTTTAGACTCTTTAGAGCCGCCGAAGAAGCCCGCCTGCCCAAGCGCCTGCGTCCCGATCTGGGGGCGCCCTCAGGGAGTTTACTACCCGTGAGAGTCATTGCTTCCAGCAGCTGCGAGGGGATGTGGGAAGCACAGTTCTGTTCACCTCCCAAGAACGTCAGTGGTTAGTGCTCCAGGTTCTACAAGGTCTCCGAGCTGGATGCAGTGATATCGATGCACTACACGGACGGGCAGCCGTCGCCGAAGGTCAGAGCATAATGGCAGCCTGGCAGGATTCGGGCCTGATAACACAGGTTTTCCCGCTCCACGAGCCCAGTTCGTTGACACAACTTCAGACGCATTGGGTTAAGCAGATATTTGCACCGCAACCATTGGGTAAGTTAGAAACCCCTTTCTTGGTACACATGATATTCATATGTTGTTTTCTTTTCCAGATGACATTGCTGCCTATTTTGGCGTAAAGGTGGCCTTATACTTTGCCTGGTTGGGACATTACACCTGCGCCTTGGGCGTTCCCGCTGTATTTGGCACAATTCTTTACTTCATTTTGTGGGGCAAGGGTCAAACGGCTCAGGATATGGGCCATGTCCTTTTCTCTCTGTTCAATGTGGCATGGGCTTCACTTTACCTGGAAGCGTGGAAACGATATTCCGTGGAGTTGGCTTTTCGCTGGGGCACTTTATCAACGCCACCCGAGTTGCTAGAACCACCCAGGCCCTTGTATAAGGTAATTGCATGTCAGTCACATGCCAGACATTGCATATATGATTAATTATTTAAATCGATTGCAGGGTCCTTTGGTGGAGAACAATGTTACGGGTCGCCTGGAACCCAAGGAGGCGCCTGCGTGGCAGCGTCGAGCTTTTCGCTACTTGGTTAGCTTTCCCATCATTGGATGCTGTCTGTGTTTGGTCTTTGCTGTGATGTTTCTCATGTTGCGTTTCCAGGTGAGTTGGCAATGAATAAAAAATAAAATCAAAGGTGTGTGTTTGTGTAAAATGATCTAAAATAATATCAAGAAAATACCCTTGCAAATATTAAGGTCCCATAGAGAGAGTTTTCAATGGAAATTCATCTAAAAGTAAATTTCAAATCATTTAACATTGCAGAATAAAGTAACTTGAATAATCACCGGAAATAAAAAGAAACGCGTAAAGTAGTATTATCAAATGTTTTCCTGTCGAATTAGAATTTATAAAATATTTATAAATAAAAACTCTTATATGCTTAAAACAAGTTTTGCCAGTCGATATATATCTATCTATATTTTAAGTTTGCAATATTCGAATGCGCAATAAATCAATGATTTGATTAGTGTTTCGGTCCCAATTATATATGAATTTATATCTAAACGTACATTGGATAATATCGATACTTTAAAGTCCGATATTTTTCAAAATTTAACATATTAATACACAAATAACATAATTTTTCCTATATAACTTAAAATTGAAATTTTTTATTTGTGTCGATAAATCAATATTATCGCCCTTGTCCTCTCGATATATCGCCCTAAATATATGTAGTTGCTACTTGACTTAGTAAACACTTGCTGTTTCATCAATGTTTTACAAAGTGAACGGGAAAATAAGCAAAAACGAATAATAATATATTAAATTTTTAAGAAAAACATTGTAGGGAAAAACTATTTTATAGTTCCTAAGTTTAAGTTTATTACAGTTTTTTACTCGAGCTTTTCCTCATCAAATATTAGCGTGTTCTATTAAAAAACCTGGTAGAGAACAACATGTTGAAATGTTTACTAACTATTCACCGCGTAATTAATTAATAATTGAGGCTCTTCACCATAAACGTGCTTTCTAGTATTTTATATTTGCAATAACATTATTAGCTATAATGTAGTTTATGGGCCAAACAAAAGGACCTCCTACATCATCAATGCTTTATTTTCGTTTGCAAGGGTATGTGCTGAGAGCACTTTTCGATCACGCACGAGGGTTCCACCCCAGCAAACCAAAACTATCGCGGAAGAGTCGCAGGCGACTCTTCTAGGCGATTAAATTGATCGCCCGCGACATCGCTTTCTGATCTTCCGTCGGGAGAAAATGGGACACGAAAGCGAAAGGAGTCGCAGGCGATTCTTCTAGAAGAGTCGCAGAAGAATCTTCCGGAAGAGTCGCAGAAGAGTCGCCAGAGCTAGCATTAGAAGAGTATAAGAGTTTTTTTTTTTTTTAATTGTCATTTTTTGTTATTATAATTCAAAAAGGAAAATTATAGAAGTTAAATACATTTTCAGCTTAGCCAGTCTTAATTTTAACAATTTTAAATTTAAATTATTTGTTACACCACCTAAAAATAAGGGAAACATATATTTTAAATATTTAATACACTTATTTAAATTGTTCAATATAATTTCATATTGATACGCACCGCTGGATATACTATCCAAAACCGTATATTGGGCCTCGTTTGCATCATGTTGTAATTCATCTGTAAAACAATTAATTATTATTGAGTAAAGTAAACAAATTTAAGTTTAAAAAACTTACCATATTACGAAAACTGGGTTTCTGGCACAGACATAACTGAGTTTATAAAAAATAAGTACCGAAAAATTTCAATGTAGCAACACAGATTGACCGAAAATTATTATTATTATGTATTTTGTTTTTGTAAAATTACTGTGCTTTCAGACGCATTCTCTGTTTTGGGTCTAAGTAACTTTACATTATCTTGCATTCCTTCAATTCCTTGATGTGTTCAAATGTTTTCAAAGTCGCCAAATGATCGCCTGGAAGATCAATCTTCCAGCAAATGTGATGCGACTCCCAGAAGATTGTTGAATCCGCTCGCTCTGGGAGTAGCTGGAGGACTTCTGGCGATCTTCTGGGATAGGGAGTCTTCTGGGAGTCGCCATCACGATTGTTGAACCGCCGCTCGCAAGTCTTATGGGAGTAGCTGGAGGACTTCTGGCGATCTTCTGGGATCGGGAGTCTTCTGGGAGTCGCCATCACGATTGTTGAATCGCCGCTCGCAAGTAGCTGGAGGAGTTCTGGCGATCTTCTGGGAGTAGTGGAGGACTTTTTGATTACTGGAGGAGTCTTCTGGGAGTCGCCAAGAAGAGTCTTCAGGGCGAAGAGTTCTTCGCGGCGATTGTCATTTTTTGTTATTATAATTCAAAAAGGAAATTATAGAAATTAAAGACATTTTCAGCTTAGCCAGTCTTAATTTTAGCAATTTTAAATTTAAATTATTTGTTACACCTCCTAAAAATAAGGGAAACATATACTTTAAATATTTAATACACTTATTTAAATTGTTCAACATAATTTCATATTGATACGCACCGCTGGATATACTATCCAAAACCGTATATTGGGCCTCGTTTGCATCATGTTGTAATTCATCTGTAAAACAATTAATTATTATTGAGTAAAGTAAACAAATTTAAAAAACTTACCATATTACGAAAACTGGGTTTCTGGCACAGACATAACTGAGTTTATAAAAAATAAGTACCGAAAAATTTCAATGTAGCATTCTCTGTTTTGGATCTAAGTAACTTTACATTATCTTGCATTCCTTCCTTGATGTGTTCATCATTATTATGTTTTCAAAGTCGCCAAATGATCGCCTGGAAGATCAATCTTCCAGCAAATGTGACGCGACTATGGGAGTAGCTGGAGGACTTCTGGCGATCTTCTGGGATCGGGAGTCTTCTGGGAGTCGCCAGCAATCAGAAGATCGCCAAATGATCTGGGAGTCGCCATCACGAATCGCCGCTCGCTCTTCTGGGAGTAGCTGGAGGACTTCTGGCGATCTTCTGGGAGTGGCTGGAGGACTTCTGGCGATCTTCTGGGAGTCGCGGTAGCGATTGTTGGATCGCCCCTCGCCAAGAAGAGTCTGGTAGTCGCGGTAGCTGGACGACTTTTTTATGGCGATTTTCTGGAAGATTGATCTTCCAGGCGATCATTTGGCGATCATTTGACGATCATTTGGCGACTTTCAAAACATTTTCAACATCAAGGAAAGAAGGAATGCAAGATAAGAGTCGCTTTCGTGTCCCATTTTCTCCCGACGGAAGATCAGAAAGCGATGTCGCGGACGATCAATCTGATCGCCTAGAAGTGTGGCCTGCGACTCTTCCGTGATTGTTTCCTGGGCTACCTTGCATACACACCACGCACACGCAAAAGTTATTTCGACTTCCGGTTGTTAGCCTTGCTGCTGCGAAGCATTAAGGTAGCTCCATTTTATGCATTTTACACAAAACATTATTCTTAGTTCTTTAAGCTATTTGTCATGCATTCATTTCGATAATCCTGGGAAAAGAAACTATGTAAAATTGTAATTGTAATCACTCATCTCACGCATCGTTGAATTGTTTTTCTATTTTCTTTAATACTCTTGTGTTTATTTTCTGTTCGTTTTTTTGTATTGTTGTATACTTCACAGGATTGGCTGGATCACCATAAAATACCAGATCGGGGAATCGCTCAATGCATGTATAATTTGCACAAGGTTCTTATTAATTTGTATTCTACATTTGAACTGTTCAGTATCTATATATCTATCTCTGTTTTATTTTTCATTAAGATATAACAGATTAAATAAATCAGATCAATAAATAAAACATTTTATATTAGGTGTAACAGAAAATATAAATATTTCAAAATTTGACTATATACATTAAACCGTATTTAAACATTGCGATAATAAGACAATATCCTGTTCAATCACCAATTGCACCAATTTCCGTTTCGGTTTAAATTAAGTTATTGGAAATGAATATCTATAAATATATAAAAAATATAAATATACATAATGACGATTTTTATACTAAATATATGAAAATGTTAATATACGACTTTTTCTTCAGTGATACAGAAATGTTTCTCAAGATCCCTATTCTAAATAAATTATTAAGTCAAATGACAAATCCATGACTTCAAAACCCAATCTTAAATATTTTATATTTTTTTTACTAAGAATTCCTTTTACTCTAACATAATAACAGGAAAATTTTAGATTTTTATTGAAGTCTTAAGCTTTCGTATTGCATTGTTGTTGAGGAAATACAAATATATGTAGTATTTTCAATCCTTGGCTTCAAGGTTATGGAAATTGTTTTGTTTCCTCCCACTCTGGCACCAAGCAAATTTTCATTAAAAGTTTTCCACACACATATGCAAACTGCTTGAAATATTTTTGCAAAGGCTATTATTTTGCCTATATGGAATTGTATTCTTATTTTACGGGATGGGAATAAAAACACTCGGCTGTCGGAAAGTAAACTGCCTTAGGAAGTGTTAAAGAAAAGCATAAAATTGCAAGATTAAAGCCAGTATTTTTAATGTTTATTTAAAATTACTCCCCATAGTGGCAAAAGGCATTAAAGAACATAAAAACGTTTCATTGTATAATAACTTAGGGAAGATAATTTATAATATTATATAGAACTAACTATTCCATCGATTAAATCGACTATTCAAATTCGCACTTCAAAGTCTAAAATATATTCAATATCATTTAATCCAGAGTTGTGGTTTCCTCAAATTGACATGAAATAAACTGCTAATGATGCTAATGAAATCCATAAAAAATTACACAATTATTCCTAATTGTGTTATTAATCCTTGAGAATATAACACGGAAATAATGAAATCAAATTGACTGCATAAACATTGAATAAGCAGTGCCTTAGCAGAACGAGGAGAAATAGGAAAATGTACAACGAAGAATGAATAATAAGTGCAGGTTAATTAGGGCAACAAAATACGGAAATAACAGAGTTTTATGGACTACTCAAGGACCAATGGACTGGGCTGATTTATTTCAATTGTGTTTTATTTTATTATATTTTCCATAGGACTGGTGGGACTCCAAGTTGCCCGAGGATAGTGTCTTATGTTGTCTCAGCGTCATACCCAAGGTTTTGCTTGCAGGAGCCATTACCTTAATGGACGAGGCCTACTTTAAGTTGGCCGTTTGGCTCAATGACAAGGGTAAGTTGAAGAATTTTTTCGGGTTAAGAACTTACTAAATTAGTTTATAATATTTCTCAATAGAAAACTATCGCCTGCAGTCGAAATATGAAAATCACTTGATAGCAAAAGTGGCTCTTTTTCAGTTCGTGAACTCGTTTCTTTCCCTTTTCTATATTGCCTTTTACTTGCGCGACGAGGACAAGCTCAAAGAGGTGTGTGCGTGTGTGTTTGCTACTTGACCTTATTACAGGATCAAAATATTCTCAAAATATCCACTTTCCTTAGCAATTGGCTGGCTTGCTTATCTCCCGTCAAATCATAGGAAACCTTCGCGAGTCGGCCATCCCCTATTTCGTTGAACAGTGGAAGTTAGCAAAACTGAGCTTCAATATGTGGGGTGCCCTGAGTCCCACCCAGAATGTTACCCGCAGCCTGGCGGAAGAGCTGGCCACGGCGGAAGCGGAGCTGAAGGCAGAGGCCAGCGGAACGGCCACAAAGACGCATCAGCCGGAGTCTACCAGTAACCGGAATATTGGCCAGGCCGAAATCGAGAGCTCGTTGTACAAGGTGAGAGACGCAAGACCTTTTAATTATTGAATTTTTTCCTGACTTTTGCTTTTCCTTACAATCAGTACGATGGCACTTTTTCGGACCACTTGGAGATGCTCGTGCAGATGGGCTATGTGGTGCTCTTTTCGGCCGCCTTTCCCTTGGCTGGAGTTTGTGCGTTGGTTAACAACCTGATGGAGATTCGATCGGATGCTTTCAAGCTGGCCCATGTCCATCAACGGCCATTTGGACAACGTGTGGCTAATATTGGAACCTGGCAGAACGCCCTCAGCATTCTGTCGCTCGCCGCTGTTATCGTGAACTGCGCCTTAATTGGCCTCTCTGGGCAGGTGTCCAGGCTATGGCCAGGTTTGACGACAGCGCAGACCATCATTTTGATTGTCACCCTGGAGGTGAGTTCTGTAAAGAGGATGGTGTTGTTAAGACTAAACTAAACTAAACTACGGAAGACTGTCTAGTTGCTTTCCCTGCATACTCTCGATGTTATACATTATTATAATTATTTATTTCTTATTAAAATCACAGCATATTATGTTGGGTCTGCGGCAAGCTCTCACCTGGCTCCTGCCAGAGTTACCTTCCTGGCTGGCTGCGGAAATCGCACGGGCCGAGCACTGTCGCCGGGAAATGCAGTGCAAGGGTACATCACCACGACCCACCCCACCCACCCCACAGTCGACCACATCCACGCAGGAACAGGAAGGTGGAGTGCCAGCGGAGAGTGGCGCAAATAGCACCAGAGATCAGTCCATGGAAAGTCAGGTGGCCGAGGACATGTTGCTCTATGGACAGGAGTTTGCCGGCTACGGCCGCAACATCGAGGCAGATGTCAATATTTATGAGAATCGCGATTCATCACCTGATTCGCCGCCCTCGCAAGTGAGTTATAATATACAGAATCTGAATATATTTTCATCTAAACTGATTGGTTAATCCTTCCAGACAAGCACTATACTCATTAGGCCTTTGCATGAGTCAACGCCACCGCAAGGCGGTGCCTCCCTCACCAGCTTACATCAGGACGGTAATGGCGGGTGAGTTTCGTTTTCATTACAATAATAATAAGTTAGCTTCCTGGGAACCTAAGTATTTTGCACACGCCAATGTGCCGGGTTAACCCCCAACTCAATTAACATGCACACCAGACCACTTTCAACTAAAGCCAATACACATATTTTATATATTAAAGCTCTTGAAATTTATATAAGCCCCTCCTTCAATTATTTTAGCTTTTACTTATGAAAACTTCATAAGAAACTGCATAATGGCATATTTGATTTTAAAGAAATTCTTTAAAAAACTGTAACCTTTTAAATGGCTTCCTTTTAATCGTTATATGTACATTTAAGTATATTAAGCTATCTCATAAATATTTATATTTATATATTATACATTTTTATCTCTTTTTATAAATAAATTTATCTAATTCTTTTCCCACTTTCCTCTCACGCTTTATATGTGACTTCTCACAGAGCTTCTGCCAGCACGCAAGCGCTGAACGCTGCCTCATATGCTGCCCGTCTGCAGTCGATGCATATTCAAGAAATACCGCCATTCCGAAAGAAATCCACCGATTCTCCTGATCATACTGGGAGCAGTACCAGCAGCAGTCCCCAGAGGACCACTATGCGACAACTATCGGCGCAAAGGGAGCCCCAGCAAACGATCCCAGAGATACCACCTTACAAGACGCGCAAGATATCTGCGGAGAGTGCTATGCATCTTAATACGAGCGTAAGATCCTGGACTAAAGGCTGTTTCAGGCTAAATTCCCGATTTCCATTTTGATCGATTTACGAAAAGTTAAATATTCCATGCTGTAGAGCTCCTTTCTTCAGGCAAACAATATTGTTTGCATTATACATTTATTTAAATTAAATTAAGTTTAGATATTTTAGCTCTAACTCTGTATATTTTGATCAAAATGGAATTGGGTAACATTATAGTTTATATTGTAAACGGGAATTTCACAATAGTTTCCATAGTAAAATGATGTAATCTGTAGCTGCTCAATGTACTGTGTGTGCGTATGTAGACTCAAGTCAAAACTCTAAAAAGTTATGCCCTTACTAACAGTCTATAACTCTCCTGAAAACCCTTACTTTCACTTTCAATTACCTAATCCTGTTCAATTTAATATAATGAAAAATGTTATATGGATTTGTATATTACTAAGATCCAGGGGTGTATCAAGATTTTCAAAATATTTGCTGTACTAACTACAAAAGGAAAAGAAGAGAAGAAATTATAATAGAATGCCATACAGTATATCAGCAAAATTTCAAATCTTGTCTAATGAATTCTTAGAAAATCCAGGCATAACTAATTTAAATATAGTTTAGTTAGTTTCTTATACAAATAATAAGTTAACCTATGCCCTCACTCTACACTATAGCTATTTTTGGGCAGCAATGACGTTACATATTGAATAGCACATTAAATGAAAATGCACTTCCCCCCCACTCAATGAGTTTACATCACTTTTAAAGGAAATTAAATACCTAACCGAAACTCCCGCTCGACTTTTGTCATTAAAGGACAAGCTACACATAAAGCTTCACGCACCAGAATGGATGTCACGTTTAAAAGTCAACGACAATGTCAATCTGCATAGAAGCATAGATTGCATTGCAAAGGTAGCGATGAGATACGTACTACTCACATATGTTCGCATTCATATATATACAATCGGATGCATATAACTAAGAATAATGTTTTTGTTACTTGATGTGTCTTGTTGGTGTGTTTTTCCTTGACAACTGCAGGATCAGTAGAAAATAGTCCTTTCATATACAATTATAACCTCGTTTGAAATCGCTTTTATTGGAACTGAAGTTGGGACAGCGGGAAAAAATGCAACCAAATTGATTTGGCATGGCAAAAGCTTCCAAACACACAATACCATGCTCTGGCTTCTACTAAATCACTCACCCACAAACTCACTAAGAATGGCATGGACTCTTAGCAACATACACCAGCATACACTATCAGACTCTTCCCCGAAAGCTTTTGATGTCTGTAGACCTCGACTATATTCATATACTTTTCATTTTATTAAAAACAAATAACTAATTATATTATTTGAACTTACTTAAACCCCAAGGAGCTCGGCAACACGTCTGGTCCCACGGACATTCTAAAGCCAGCTCCATCGTGGTGCAATGTGGCCATGAAGTCCGGCGCAACTGGAATACCACCATCGCAGCAGCAAATAGTCGCTTCCTCGTCATCATCATCGGGAGGAGGTGGCAGTGTCTTTAGTCCCAGTGGAGCTGGACCTACTGGAGCTGCTGGTGGAGGCCTTCCCAGTTCCCAGTCAAGGCCCAGTGTCGGTGCCCTGTCCAATTCCTCATCCAGTTCTTCACATAAGCAGCAACAAAAGCTGGCCAAGGAAGAGAAAGAGCGTGAGAAGGAAAAGGAGAAGGAAAAAGCTAAGGAAAAGGAAAAGGAAAAGAAAAGGAAAAGGAGGCACAGGCACAGGCAGCATCCACATCAGCGGGAAATACAGATGACGAAGCTAAGGGTAAATGCAAAGCTACTATTTACCATATATTTATGTATCACACTATATTACTAACTATACATTTTCCTATTTTCTTATATCCCTAACCTTTAGCCGCTGAATTAGCTGCTAAAAAATCGCGACTTAAGCAGAAGCTGGTCAAGAGTGCTAGGTCTGTGGCTATATTCTCACTCAAATTGAAGGAGCGAAGACAACGAGAGGCTGAGAAGGCAGCCACCATAGCTGTAGAGCATGCCAAGGTAGGTCTATAAAATAGAACCAGAATCAGAAAGATTTAAGTTATATGTTTTCTTTATTTTTAAGGCTCTGGCCAAGCTGCCTATGCCTCAGCCAGTGGGCGGTGAATTGTCCCTGATACCCATCGAGCAACTAATACAAATTGAGGACATCAAGCCTTCACTCAAACCTACAACGACATCGGGAACGACAGGACCAACATCTTCCAGTCAAGCCGGATCTTCTATGTACCACCAACAGCATCAATATCAGCAACAGCAGCAGCAACATCAGCAACAGCAGCAGCAGCAGCAGCAGTATCAGCAACAGCAGCAGCAACAGTATCAACAGCAGTATCAGTATCCGCCTTCACAAGCACATCCGAACACGGACAATTAAGCTTACAACACACACAGATTTCGCACACTTTGTAAATAGTTTTCAATACACTCCCCCACTCTCCACCCCATTCAGTCGCAACTCGACTTTTTCGAAGTTACTGATGATCATAGGTATATGAGCAAATTTGCTGAATGTGTGTCTTGTCCAGAGTTGGAAGCAACTAATTTATTACATTTTAGACTAGCAGTAGGTGAATTAAGTTACTCAATTGACAAGTGTTAAATGTTTTTTGTATATTAATTATGTTCCAATTTGAGCCAGTTTTGTATGGATAAAATTTAAAGTATCGTCTTTTGAGAATCTAATAGACTTTCATATACAAAACTGCATAATGCAAAGATGATGATAATCCCGGGTATTCAGCATTAGATGTTTTGCATCTGAATTAACACAGCTGAAAAATAGTCCTTAAGGCTAGTGCTCAGATCGATGAGAAGAAATGATTAAATTAAGGTATTCAAGGAAAACTATAATCAATGACATTGGCCGAACTCTGGTTTTATTTTCCTACATTAGCTAAAGCCTAATGAACACAAACTTACGAATGATTACTATATTAATAAGATACATTATTTGTTAAAAATAGGTTGCAGGATTTATTAATATTATTAACCCAAGCTGACTTTGGTTCATGTGGTAAAAGACCTCAGTTTAGATTATATGCAGTTTCTTTCAATAAAGAATTTAGTATTCTTTGTTTGGGGAGATATTTCTTTCTAATTTTTATAAATGCAGATATGAGTCTTATTTTTAAATACCCAAATTTTGACAATCGAATTTGATTAACAATTGCAAACACATTTTTTCAAAAAGAAATAAGGCCTTGTATATTGTTTTTAAGAAAACTTCATGTTTTATGAGTAATAATTTATTTAAAATAAGATTAGTTTGTCAACAAACAACTGACTGAGCAGCAAGATGTTAACTTTCTCTGCTGGCAAACAAGTGTCGATCTGAGTACTAGTCTTTAACCAAAATGCTATATATTAACAGTTTAGACAGAAAAGTTGTGAAACGAATTTTTGGTTAGCATATTAGAAGTTAATGTGTTTTTGGTAGTAATTGTTGTTTAGAGATTAGGCCTAAAACAAATTTGTTGACAAATGTTGAAATAGTTACATTTTATATTTACGTTGCCAGTGAGTATGCATAATATATTAATTACGCAATAAAAAATAAACTCTCACATGCAAAACAAACGTAAGCCATTACACGATCAAAGACAAACACTGTGAGAAAGTATCGTCCATTGTTCCTTCCATATACAAGGATAACGTCTTCGCACTCGCTTTTAGCTACGATAAACCAGTTCAAATAAAAACCGAGAATAATTTAGGAACTGCAGCTTAACCTCAACGAAGCAAAACAGATATTTTCAATCGTTTTACTAAGTACTCGCTTGATCAACGAACTTTCACCGTTTACACGTAAACATTGCTGCACTCAAAAACTCACGAAATTGATATTTGTAAATATATTTAAGATAATAAGTGTAATTGAATAGATGTACGCAGGGTACACTAACGTAATTATAAGTGTGCTCTTGTGTTAAAAAAAAGCCCAAAGTAAAGCAATTAATTACAAATTTAAATGAATGTTTTATAACTGATGGGAGGATTTGAACGAAGTGTTGAATACTTTTAGGATTATGTTCAATTATTCAAGCTACTCACTGTGATGTCTGGCAATGTTCGGGTACTTGGGTTGTTTCGTGGACACACAAGAAATGAATATAAATATTCTGTAAATATAAATGTGATATATTATTTTTAAAGACAAAATCCTGTCATGAAAAGCAGGGAAGAAAGCACCTTTACGAACAGAATAGTAGATTATTAATCCAATTCATTCCTGCTTTGTAATAGTATCCTAGAAACTTCTTTTGCAAGAATATTTAAAATCTCATGGTTCCCACTAGAATCATATTTAATTTATTAGAATACTATTTTATAACTTTTCATGGTAGCAAAATCTAGTTTAAACTTAAAAGTAAACATTCCCCTTCACCAAGACTTAAGCAATCATTGTCCAGTGAAATATGTAAATCCTGTACGCGTCTCAGATAAGCTCTCACCTTAATTAAAAGGGTCAAGGATAATGGATTGTTGAGGGTCAGTTGTGGAAATTTTCCAGAATTGATTGCACTTGTCACTTGCATCTGTCTGACGGTGGGTTAATCATTACGTTTAAATCAAACAGAATAGCTAGTCCACCACAGAACTCGATGGGTACAAGTGTTTTATTTTGTTGCTGTGCTTTTTTTTGCAACAACATTTTTCATTTTGTTTTATAGCCAAGCTATAAAGGAATGCTGGACGCAGGTCAAGTCAACCCTCCAGCTCCTCAAGCTCCAACTCCAGTCGAAAGGGTCTCTCGCAACTCCACGTACAAATCTGTTACCTCAGACCCCATGCCTTGTTCATCGCCATCAACACTTGTCATTGTTGCAGGTGAGCTGAGCTTGAGCTGCCTGTAACTGATTTGAGTTGACTGATAAAATGTCTGGCCTGAGTAGTCGTTGGTCATTTGCCAGCTTAACAAACGCACATCTCACGTACGGCTAATTAACGCGCGCTTTAATGCCTCGCTCCCGTAATCCCCCAGCCCCCTCAACCCACTCCATAATCCGTGGATTGGAGTGACTGTCACCCTCCTTTGTCCCGAAGGCACGAGTCGCATTACGAATTCATTATGTCCGTGTGACTCTGTACTACTACTATTTGGTTAAATTTTTGTCCAATTTCGCAGGTCTACAGAGTCTGTATGGGACTTGGTGGTCTAAAGGAACAATATGAGATTTAAACCAATAAAAGGACAATGAAAAAATTAAAATATTTCGTGCTATTTTTATATTAATAAGCATTTCCTGTGACTTGTCATTTGTTAATATTTATATGCTTTCAGTTTGGTAATTTATATATCTTGTAAATATGTAATTACTTGGACCTCGTTGATTTTCAGGGGAAGAACATAATATTCATATAATCAACATAATATTTACATACCGTAGCTTTTTTCGTTATGTGTTTTTTAAGGGGCTTATACCATACGTCTTAAGGTTTAGTGATCCGCAAAACTTTAAAAACAATCCCACTAAATTATGCTACTTAAAAAAAATAAATAAGCATACTATTTATCAATCATCAATACATTAATCACATATGAAAGGCTGAGCGGTTCTATAATATATTGAAAATGTTTGCAATGCAGTGGTGGAGGCATATTCTATATATACCCTTATACTATGTATAATTTGATTTTAGATATTATCTGTATATCAGTATCTCTAGTATATGCTTTATATATTATTACCTTATAGAGAAATATGTACCTTTTTATGCTTGGAAGATGGCCAATGTCTGTTTAGCAGAAATTTCCGCAATAATCAAAACCAAGGAGCCAAGATTTCAAATATCTTGCACTTAACTGCAGTTAAGGAATGCCAAAAAACAACTAACTAATAAAAAATTAAAAAAAAAGATCAATCAAAATGTCCAACTTGAACATAAACAAAAGCCATGCCAAAAAGGTGACATCAAAATAGTGGTTTCACGACGATCCGAGAAAAGAGCTACATATGCTGCCGTGTAGGAAACCATAACGAGCTATAAGCTGAGCACTTGGCTCACTGGAGATCGCGAAGGTTGGCCAAGGTAGCATATAATATGGTGATGGAAACAGACAACGCTTTATGAGTGATATTACTGTAAGATAATGAGCAACAAAAGGCAAAACTAACCACTTTTGGGGCGGTGTCTCTGGGAGATACAGGTTGGTGAAATCTCTTTCGGAGTCTGTGTGTGCACCTGACCCGAAAATGTTTCACATTGCGCGAGTTACAGTTAAACGCCATTTTTCCATTGAATTTCGGGTGTTACCTTTTTTCTGTGTTTTAAAGATCTCTGGTTCCGACGAGAAAGCGAGGCTGCGAGAGACTGTGGAGCTGGGGTCCCATCCAGTAGCCACCAATTTGTCTGTCCGAAATGGTTGGATGGGCCATTAATATATGGTCAGTGATGGGGAAGGGAGGATGTCCAGGAGGAGAATGGGGTTGCCCTCGAAAATAAAATGACACGACAGATACGGCCACGCCTCGAGGGCGCAACGGTAAATGGCCCCCAAGACTGTGTTTCGGTATTTGCGTTTTTTCGAGACTTTACTTTAGTCAGAGTGTCGAGTTGTGAGTTTCGAGTTGTGAGTCGTGAGTTTGTGGGTCTGACCCATGGTTTATTCACCTGTGGTCATAGCCACTGAAAGCTTAAATTAAAATTAAAATTGTTATAACATTTTGTTGGTGGTGTTGACGCCGCTGCTGTTTATCTTAATGAAACTTTTTAAATCACTTTTAAGAGCTTCGCTCGGTTTTTTTTCTGTCGGTCGGAGCTATAAAAAGCATACACTGTATATAGCACATATAGAGAGAGTCCAGACCAGACCCTCTCGGATCTCTTTGATTTAAATGCATTTAATTTTGGGGCATGTGAAAATTAATTACATTTAATTAGCCCTAGCCCGAGCCCCATCCCGTACCGTTCCAAGTGGCTTCATTCCCAACACGAGTTGCCGTTTTAATTGTTTGATAATTTCAATTTTCGTTTATCCGATACACAGGCAAAGAGCAAACTAATAAACTTTAAAGTCTTGCCCGGCTTTATGGGGTGCCCTTCTCGAAAAACGAGTAGAACGATCCAAAGGTCACACGATACTTTAATTCAATTTCATTCGAATTGTACTTGGATATCGGCTTTTCTCAGGTAACCAAATTAAACGGAAGCAACGTTCTATTTTCGGTGGGCTTTGCAAAGACACCTTTGACTCTGTTTTTAATTTGTATTTGATTCAATTAGGGGTAATCCTAACAGAGTGTTTGCTTTCGTAATCAAATTTAATGAAATCTGCTTTCATTAGAATACTAACAAATAGTACGTTGAGTTTAAATGATTCACTTTAATCGAGTAGTTAACATTGGTTTGTAATTGACAGGTTATCAGGTTCGAATCTTTGATTGATTTCCATTGATTTCCAATGCTTAGGGATTTAAGAACTTCTCTTTTCGGACTTCCAGCTTTCTATATAAAACGTGTACAAATTTATTTTATTAAAACTGAACTGTTTAGTTGTATTTCAATTGTATTATTTTGAAAGCCCGTCGCCTTTTTCTTATATCCTACATTTATAGTTTTTTTGTAAATATTTTGAATATTTGATCTTCTTTTCTATGATCTTTATAAGAAATATATCTTATACAGCCTTAGGTTATACAATATATAACGGATACTTAATTTTTTTACATTCTTTTTTATTTTAAGTACTTTTATGATAACTGGAGTTATGTATTATAATTGTTTAATTTTAAACTAGTTAAATATGCTAATTTAAATAAATATGAAATCACTATTACCTAGTCTTATTATTATTTTTAATAAATAAAATAAAATACTATACTATTGGGATCCTAGGGACATGAGAACTTACTTCACTATTCTAAAACCATTTGCCATTAGCAATAATATTCCATTATAAATATGAAATGTGTGCTATGTGACGCACTAAAATATTGCCCCTGGGGTTAATGTCTAGCACTTGACTGAAATCATTTTTACTACTGCCAAATGGCAATTACCTTTTGTTCTCGAACACTTAAAATGGAACTTGTTTGACTCAAAAAGCAAAACAAGAACCAAACTGAAATAAATAAAGACGAGGAATGCTTTCATATGTAATTAAAGTAAATTGAATTAAACTGCAAACCGGTGAGTAGTGCAAATAAAGACCTGCTGCTGCTGCTGCCACCTAGATCCGCAAAGATCTCTCATCTAGTGACAATTTATGGCACAGTTTGGCATTCGTATAACCAAAACGTGGTCAGAGCCGGGATCTCTGGCGTGCCGAGATCTCTTCATTTGCGGCACGCTGAAAACTGTCAACAATTTTGATGAAAATAATTGGCGAGCAGCTGTGGGCGATGACGACGTCCCCCAATTACGGAACTGGGGGCGATAAAATGCGTACGTGTTCATAAATATTGTCAATTAGCGAGGGCTCCAACTCAGCTGAAGATCGGCCAGAATCGAAGAAGCCAGGGCTAATTGCAACTGTAACCGCAACACAGCAAGCAGCGAACAGCTAGCAAAAGCCTGGTGGAAACAAGTTACGCAACACAACAATCATCAATGGGGATTGAGTTACATTTACGATCGGCCTGTCGATCTGGTCCATCAGTCGGGATGGTTCCTAGCGGCGGCTGGCTTGATTGATCAAACGTTGACAATATGGCACTTACGGGTGCAATCAAAACGAGGATGGATTGCTTGGATATGCGCCCGCAATATGGGAACTAACATATCCCTCTGCCAGGTCCATGTCGTCCGATCATTATTTTATAAAGCGTGCTAACTGCATAGCAAAGCGTTGACCATTGACCATTGCCTGGATGCCGCTTGATTAGCTCTCCTCCGGACTTTCCTGGGGGCGCCCTGGGATTGATGATGAGTGCCTTCGGTCACGAACGATTGCAGATTGCACATTCCTCTTCCTCTCTGGGCAGTTTTTTTGGCTTGCCAGTTAATCCTTCAGTTAATTAAATTAATT